TTGGAAGAAAGTTAGGGGTGGCCAAACCAAAACGTGACATCAGTCCTTAAAGTCACTAACTTCTAGTCTTAGTCATGTTGGGAGATGCAGACTACTTCGTTGGGGTCCGCGTGACTATCATAACTAATGGTTGGAGACTCTTGGTGACATGGCTTAGAATTGATCACAATGGTGTAGTTGTATACACTCTCTGTCTTCTCTTAAACTAAGAGATTACAATCGCTTCATATCTTTCTTTCTACGAACTAATTCTTCCTTCCCGTACTATGTTGTTATATGCAATCGTTTTTTTACATATTACCACCTCTGAATTAACTACTTTTCTGAATCCAGTGTTCATCTTGTTGTGTTAATGAGGTGTGGCAACTTGGACCAATGCATATATGTGCCTGGTCCTACATTGTAGCTGGCTGACTGATTTGAAAGTGTATTTCAATTCATCGTTCAAAATATTAAATATCAGTGTAAATGTTCTGTTTCAATCGATATTGAGCATTATAGTTCAACATCTTCAGTCATTACGGTTATTATGCTGACTTCAACCAAACAGTCTACATTTACCAAAGTGTCTGAGATAAACAGTTCATAACTTTATGAAGTAATGTCATGTAGTGATTTATTTCTTCTTCTTCGTAGTTTTTTCTTCTGCTTAATTCTGCATCAAGGAAAATTACTCAACTGAACATGATAAACACTAACTAAGATTAAAAATCAACTAATTTCTTGTTTATGATAATATTCCATTTTAAACGATTACTGAGAAATTTGTAATTTTAATTGTTGATGTCATGAGTCATTTGGAACTAAACAACCATGGCAAACCTGAAAACCATAGACGTCCGTTTCGTCCTATTGTAAGACTCCCCCAACAATGCATATCCACTACCCTTACCTCTTAATTTTCGAACCCAAAGATCTTTCACAGTTTCACGCACAAGCGCTTAACCATTAGAGTCATAGATACGTACTGCTGTGAAATCTCACAATCGAATGAAACAACCATTCAGTGCTTCCAGGTTTTTTTTTTGTTGATAATCTATCTTTCATTAACCCATGATTTCAATTATTAAAATCACTATAATATCCATAAAAAAATTTCTAAATCAATAATTACTTCAAAATATATTACTTACACTCAGAATGGGTTTTGTGGAGATTTTTAGAAATTTCACTGGTTGACATCATGACTCAATTGAAGCTAGACCACCATGGAAAATCTGGAAGCACTGGACGTCCGCTTTGTGTACGGTGGCGCAACTTCGTGGTTTGGTTGAAGTTAGACATTAACACCGTTGGGTGCCGGCTCAGTAGTCTAGTTGGTTAAGCGCCTGGCGCAAAACTGATAGGTCCTGGGTTCGAATCTCGCCGGGGGGGGCGGGATCGTGAATGCGCGCTGCTGAGGAGTCTTATGCTTGGACGAGACGGCTGTCCAGTGTTTCCAGGTTTTCCATGGTGGTCTAGCTTCAATTGACTCATGATTTCAACTAGTGAAATATTACTTACCATCTACTTAATTAATAAAATATAGAACTTACATTTTCTCTTGGACTTTTATGATATTGTTTATTATCATTACATATAGTTTGTTGTTCTATTTTATTGAATTGTATATTAGATTGTTTTATATTTGATCTATTCTCTATTTTCTTATACAATTCATTATATAATTTCATATCATTATTATTATTTTTAATCAATTCCGGTTTACTCATATATTCAATCCATTGTTGTAATGTTAATGTAGCTGTTAAATTATCTGTATAGGCTGATAATGGTGTGGTTAAAGTATTCAATACATTTGATCCATAAATGAATTGATTTTTATTCAATAATTGAAGATGTTTGATGAGATCATTTTGTTGAATTATCATATTGTTATTATTATTATTATATTGATTTATTGGTATTTTTAATTGATCTGATTGATTGATTGATAGATTTTCATTAAATGGATATGGATGTATATGTCGAAGAGGTGGTACAGTAGTATAAAATGAATTCGGATCATTTGTATTCATTCCTGATTGAATGGAATATCGTATAGAATCTTTGTGAAATTGTAATAAGTTAATAATGATTAGAGTTATGAATGTAAATGATAAGCTTATATTGATCAAATAAAACAAACGTAAATAATTAGAAATGTATAATGCACATTCAATAGTTTTAAGTGTCGAATGGGTTTTGATTCGATTTCCTTAGAAGTGATATACTGAATAATGTTTCCTGTTTTCCAATAAGTTTCTAACAACGATCAGTTTGTAATGAAGACCGAACGATCTGATAATCACCAGAAAACACCTATATTAATAATTCACTTGATGTTGTTTACTTGTATCGTCCTATTGTTATTTAGGACTGAAATTGATCAGTCTCATATTGGCATATGTACATCAATCTTTGCTAATAAAACTTGTGGTCTAAGGCAATATCGAAACAATCCACACAGGATGCACATATGCCAATATGAGACTGATCAATTACAGTCCTAAACCTCAATGGGAAGATACAAGTAAATAACACCAAGTGAATTTAAAAACTTCACCCCATTGCACAAGCAAGTGACTATCAGGATTCAGTAGCTAAGTGGATAATGCGATGGCGTTTTAAGCGAATAGTACTGGGTTCGAGTCCCAGAGTGAACATCAACCCTAAGATGAAGGTACGTCCAGATGAAGAAACCGAGATAGGACAAAACGTGCGTCCTGGATTCTACTGCTATCCCCTATCTATCTTTGTCATATCAATAATACTTATATAACTGAAGAAATATGGATGAATGGTTGCTTGTCACAAAACTAATAATTAATTGTGAACGTATAATTACGTAAATGCTAAATAATGTTTAGATATCATTGAATATGATATATGAGATAAGAATTTGAATCATGTACGTTTCAGCCTATACTTTTTCCGTGGAAAGATAAACTCTGATAATGTTTTCTCTGTGGAATACGATTTTATTTATGACATTCCAAAACAATAATCATATAACCATAATCGATTACATAGTCGTGATATTCAATTTGATAAACAGGTAAGCAAATAAAATACACTTAAAAATAATAGACTCCTGAAGATAAGCTGAGTGAATTACTCCTAAGGTGTAAGATGAACGTCCATTTTGTTTTCATCAATACTTATTATAGATAAATTGATGGAATAGCTATAAGCTCAATTCTAACCACGATTTTAGTTGAATTCTTCTTAGTAAAATTAGAAAATGAACATCTTGATAAGGTTATCAATGAACTAGATCAATACAAAAGAAAATTAATTGGATATCTCACAAATAAAGCCAACAATGTCTCCTCACATGGTAGTATAAAAAAACAGTTGGAGTTTATGAATAACATACTGGCTGAGATGGGTTATCTGAGATTTTTTTAAAAGAAGTTCACGTATGGGGGGAAAAAGATAAGATGGATATACTGATCATCCTTAAAAAACCTCTTTTACTAAAGCTACAGTACAAAGGGGGTATAGCTAGATACGCCTTGCATGAAAGACTAGGATGAGCAATCAACCTGGTGTTGACATTTTCTAGTAGACCAGTGACATCTACTCAAAGAAAAAGGTGTCTGAGTTTGCCTCCTCAATCTGCATCTAAAAATTCCGCAGATCCTGGGGAGATAGCTATACTGGGCGTACTTCCAGGCAACCAACAAATGAGTTCACATCTACCAGCTTGGTTTGAAAATGGTCAGAAAAAGACAAAACGTAACTCACTCTAGACAGTGGGGTTATGGTTGATAAAGGCGAATCATTTCGAGGGATCTATCGTTTCCGTCTCCTACATATAGCAGAAGCGATAGGGATACGAACCTATAACCTTAGTTAATGTGTCCAGAGGAAATTCGTGACACCACTGTCCATTCCTTGACTGGATGTAACCTAATATCACTCAATAACTAATTACTTACACGCCCCCTATTGCGTAATTTCAATAGTGTCTTTTAGTTATTAAAGTCTATTTATCCAAGTTTAAGTTACTTACTATGTTGAACCGTTGATTCGAGCTTCAATTATATTATTATACTTAAATCATAAATTGCCTTGAGTAGTTTAATTTTTTCGAATAAATATTCATGTATATTAGAGTAACTCTTGGTGAGGAATGTTCGCTTATATGTGCTGTTCTAATAATACTAATAATAATAAGTATGATTATCCCAAGCAAAGTAATTGAACGAGTTGACTGACTGCTAATCGATTGGAGTCAATATGTATACTAAGAAATGGTTTAGCCAAAAGGAGAATATTCTAATTAACAGGCCATTAAAATAAAGGGAGTAGGTGAGTCTGTTAACCTAATTAATATTCTATCACATATACATTAGGTAGTTTAGTAGCTTAAATAAATAAATAATAATAATAATAATTAAGACAAATCAGGTCAAATCATCACTAAGTAATGTTATGCACATTTATGTATTCTCTGATGTAAATGAAGAAAAAGAGGACTTTATTGAAATATTATTGTAGAGTTTCCCTTAATTAACCAAGGGCATAACTTTGTAAAAATAAAGTCATTACTGTTACTAATATGGTGTACATTATAATGGTAATAGATTCTAAAATCATTACCGATATTATAACAAATAACAGGGTAATTTTTCTGTGAATCACTGGTTAAACTATATATACTTTCTAACTATTGGATGATTAGTTTAAAGAATATTATATCTAATTTGGTTCAAACAACTAGATAGGTAGGAAGAAGGATTGATAAGGACTCTAGACTGTTTGTACGGGTTGACGCGTTATTGATCCGGTTGATAAATTATTGTTTTCTATTCGGCGGTATCATTGCGTTATATAATAATAGAGTACAAGGTCACGAATTATAATAATTGACAAATGGGGTGAAAAAAGAATCAATGTTAGCCAGTAATTAGTTGAAAATCAGTAAAATTATTTCGAACAATTAGCATACAGAATTGTCGTTGGTATCCTTGAATGACATTGGTTGTTAATTCGTCATACAGTATTTTTTTTTTATATTACCGTACTGATTCAGACAGAAACAGAAAATGGTTCTCCCTACCGATCAATTTCAGTTACTATTTCAGTAACAATAAAAACAGCCAGTTGAAATCTATAGAGATAACTTACGCAGATGGCTGCTGAATCATCCATGCTTTGAAGATGTGATGGAAATTAATCAATTAACGAAAATAAATATGATGACTGTATGGCATAATAATTCTCTTAATATTAATTTAATTAACATTAATTACATTTCAAGTCAATAGAGTTAAGTAAGTTTTTATTATAAATTAACGAATCAGTATAGTTTAATGTTTAGAGGCTTTACAAGGGGGCAACAAAGCTGTTACAACATTGTCATTATCATATATGTATATTTACATGATACTTGGGTTTTATTTACTTAAACAAGTAAGGACATACAGTACATATGACCATCTATGTATATATGTTGAATATATAAAACTAACTTAGCTGAAGTTTCATACATTTTTTTGCGAATCCCTTATATACTAATGTTTCTATACGATGGATAAGCTAAACTTAATGGGGGTAACCCAAGGAATAATAATAATAATAATGACATTGTTATTATTATTAGTTATGTTTCTTATCATTTATAAGCTTAATTATCAATGACTTTGCAAATAGCCTCTTTTGTAAACAAAACTAAAAGGTAGTCTAATTTTTAGATAATATTCATAATCAAATTTGTAATTAATAGAATACTAGTCATTTGTATATAATAAGAAAATGAATAATAACGGTGAACTAAATATCATACTGTTGATAAGGCTAATGTTTGTATGACTTCGTGTTGTTGTTGTTGTTGTTGTTGCAAACTCTGTTACTTATCAAGCATAATTGTGTTATCTACTTGGTGGTCTATTTCGAACTGATATCATAAATGGAACATTATATATATCTACATATATAGGGAGAGAGAGAGAGAGAGTTATACTTATGGAAGGTAAAGAAGGATAATTTTCCTAGTGTCAACTTGGTCATGAAATATTTAGCAAATACATTCTTTCCTATTTCAAATAAAGAAACTTTATTCTAGGTCAACAACAACAACGGACTATTGTCATTTTTCAAAAATTAACAATGATTCATCATTGTAGCCTTAGTTTCTCTGGGATAGTAACAGTTTCTAATTCACCTGGTAATACGTTTGTGATTAAAACTAAAGTGAAGAATAGTCCAACTATTGCTAGAACCTACCACAATTTAAACTATTAATAACCGATAAAACTAGGGAAAACCATTATTTGTATATTTTTATAAGAATAGGTTACTGAATAATAAATTACTTATCTTGAGTTCAAAAAAATCTTTGATCAAGGAAACAAAATGAGTTGACTTAATTAATCTAATTCACAGAACCTTGTTCATCTTTTCTGAATATCGATGATTGGAGATTTTTGTACACTTTTTCTAGAGAGTATACATTAGTTCAAAAATCGAAACTATAGTTTCAGATACATCAAATTCAAATACCGATTAATTGAATACGTTAATATGTATAAAATGAAAATCAGTAATCAAATTGAACCATTGATCAGTGAGTATGATTCCAATCATATTAAATTACATGACTTTTTTATGAAAACCGTTCCATCTTGAACTACTCAAAGTACTTTTGAGTAGTATGTTGTAATGAATAAATTTTAAATGAAATTTCCTATTTGAATAACTTATTCATCGTAATATTGTGGGATGACGTAAATTACTTTCATTTCATGTTTCCTAAATCTTCCTCATACACAATTTATAAATATATTATTTCATAAATGTAGGTTTGTATATAACCTTTACAGAACACTAAATAGCTTCAATTTATCCCAAAGTGCTATATAAAAAAATGAATCGCACACAGGAGTCATTCAGTAAATTTTAAGACTAGCTTCTGACTGATAACCAGGCAGAGTAATTGTGAACATTTAAGTTACTCTTAAGCAAATGGTACTTGATATCTGAACCTCAATTATGCAAACAAAAAGATCGTGTACTTCAGCTAACACTATCATTGTGATCGAATCACTCCTGTTTTTTCCTCCATTTTTTCATCTTTTTCAAAATATTTAAGAATCTGTTTTGTTTGTGTGATCTACCATCTTTACCCTTTTCTTTTGCTTAGTCGCACTAACGATTTTTAATGTAGAGTTAGAATAACTAGTTGTACTGTATTAATAATACCCAATAAGACTTTTGAGTCTTAGCCAGTTTAGCTATCCAAGTATTAGCATTTTTTCTTAGAATCTTTGATAATTGTTATAATTATTATCAGTAGTACGTTGGGTTTTTTCAAAAATAAAGTTAAATTTTAATTAAATTATGAACTGATCCTAAGGAGACCAATACTGAAGAACTATGAAGCACTGGACAGTAGTTTCATCTTAATCAGTAGGCATCTTTTCCTCACTGAGAACGCTTAACTCTTATGTCACCAAGTCATAAAGTTTGTAGAGGTAGTAGAATCTTCATAGTTCATTTCATGGATCAGTGGTGTAAAAGTAATGCATTTGCAGGCAACAACGAAAATCCCATATTCGATTCTCGGAGTTGAGGTTGTAAATGGACACAGATAAATAGTCAAATACTATGACGAAACAACTGTCCAATGCTTTCTGATTTTCAGTAGTATTTTAGTGAAAACTAATTCGTGATCTAACTATGGATATAATAAGAATACTAATAACTAATTTTATCATTGTCATCATCATTATGACTACCCTTTCATTGTTTTGATAATTTAGAATAAAACTATAGACCACATTGATATCATTTCATTGATATTCAGCGTGAAACTATGATCAGTTAATTTTCAAATTTTTGATTGAGATCATGAACCGATTGGTGTTGAACCACTATTAAAAACCTGAAAACACTGGACGGCCGTTTCATCTTACTGTGCAACTCCTCAGACGTGCGCATCCAAGATCCCGCTCAAGGGATTCGAACCCAGGACTTTCGTTCTCGTGCGCAAACGCTTGACCTATAGACCACTGAGCCGTCATCCAACGAAAAGTCCCTCCAATGCTTCCACGTTTTCAATGGTGGTCTAACATCATCATCTCAATCAAGAGCTTGATAATCTCCACAAACCCATACTGATAATTTTTAAATTACTGATTTACCATTGAGGAACTAAAACAATTTAATATTGTAGTGGCTGGTACCTATATCAAGGCCAGATAGGTTATTCCAGCTTCTGGAAAGACCAGTTTATTCATTCTTCTCAAGCCACATTTTGACCTTATCACTTATTCGCTTATTAAGTCTAACTGTATTGATATGATAGTATGTGTGTTATTTATTCACACTGTTCATCATGTGTCTGTAACCTATTTTTGTTTGACTATAAATATCGAGTCACACTTGATTGAGTTGTCTCATTCACCTTCCCTACTGTGTATCATTTTATTTCGCCTCTTTCTCTCCTCTTCTCTTCGTTTCTGTGATCGTCTCTCTGGATCAACGATTGTATGAAATAAACATATACAAAATTCATCCTTGTATTTGACTTACTTCATCCTGTTATTCACTAATGCGAGTTAAGTCGATGATTATACATGAAAACAGCTAGGATGTATATTTCGATGACAATCAACATATGAACTAACTCGAATCAGATATAAGGCAACTAAATGTATTTTTTGAAAAAAACGTGATAAGGAATTGCTTTATCGATAATGAAAGCAACTGAAAGGAAGTTTAAAAATTGATTGAACTATTAATCGACATATATAGAACAAGTCATAATGATATATACATTGCTATTCTATAATTGATGGACGAACGAATCAGGTAAAAGATAATGTGTCTCGGACTTTGGCACGAAATTCACTCATCTATCTAGTTTAATGGAGTTTTCGGATTATAGTTGATATCAGTTCGTGATGAAAGCCCTAAATCTAATTCCTAACCTTAACCATCAACTGTAAATCATAATTCTAATTCCTAATACAGGTTTATAACCCTGATTTGGTCTTAGTTATTAGGTGGACACTCACAAAGTCACTCTAACGTCATTCAAACGTCATCCATAAATTATAGTCTCACTGATATGTTATTGCATATAATTGCTTACCTTGATGTCCTATTAAAGGTAAACTGACAAGATCATCTGGTTTAATGAGAAATGGATAGATTGAATTGGCAGCATATGATAAACTAGTTAGCTGTGAGGAATCACGTGAAATTTCTTTTCTATTATTTATATTGTTGTTGTTGTTAGTTTGTAAAGAATTTAAAATATTTTTACCAATTCCTGAATAATCAGATGGTGTTGTAGGAGATAAAGTTGAGTTGAATCTATCCAAGTGAAATTGTGATAATTCATTGACAGTTGAATCCGAATCAATATGTGAATAGATAGATGAAGACTGAAATGGAACGGGTAAACAGTAATTATTTGATTGTCAGAACATGATATATATATGTATATGCAAATCAAAGAATGGAAGTAAATGAGACATTCAAATGATATGAACTAAGATTTCCAGAGAAAGAGCATTCGGAGGAAAATAAGCTGTAACAATTAGAAGTAATTTAACTTGAAACTATTTCAAGTGGTTTATTTATGAATATAGGTTATTTTCTGGAGATCGTAGAATCTCCATAATTTATATCACTAGTTGATTCTAGCTAGACCAACACTGAAAACCAAGAAGCACTGATCAATTGTTTCATTATAGTATGTAGCTCTTCAGTGATACTCAGCCGTAAAACCGCCATGTTAGTTTGGACTCAAACTTTAGGTCATATACATGAACATTTTTTAACGTCTAGGTCACTGAGAGATGATTTAATATATGAAGGTCCTATAACCTCCATAATACACCATTTTACTATTCATAATCATTATGTTTCAACATGTGATTAGTTTCAAAATGTAATTCCTGTAGTTCTAGTGCGAAACCATCAGTAATCAAGCATTATTAATAGATATTTTGTAACAAAAGGATAAAGGGTTTATTGTGAATCGTGACTTGAAAGCGAAGAAACATCGTGATGTAGCAAATTTCAAATTTCATGGCAATTTATTTAAGTCTTTAAACATTTCGAATGTAATATTTCAGAATTGTGTATCTGACTAAAGTGAAACCCAATTCTGATAATGATAGCTGCCCTTATGGTTCAATAAAAATGTTAATAAACCTGAGCGTGTTCTAAACGTAGGTACTAGTTTGAATAATATTCAAAGGTAATTTCTAGAAGTATATAAAGAACATGTTACCTTTATCCTTTATTTTAATGTGAAAATAATGAGTAGGGTATGTGAACACTTTTCTTTTTCATTTCTAAAATAGAACATCATAGCCTTAAACATTTGATTTATAAACTATGATGAAGTAAGCCCAGATTGTGAACGTGTATTTTTTCAAAGGAAATGACCAAAAAGACTTTAGAATGATCGATATTAGTCCCACAAGTGAATTTTTTAAAGAAAAACTATCTTCCCACAAACTGCTTGCCATGAAAGTTTGTTTTTCCGAATGAGGTCTAAGAAACTAACAAACCGGATAATTAGCGGTGTTACAGATTTTAGTTCATTTAATCAATAGTTTCCACCATAAATTGCCTATAACTGGATCGCTATTGGAAATCAGGATGTAGTGCGTAACTTTTCGGGTATTCTGTTGTCTATAGACCCAATTTATATGATGTACTAAATCCCTAATCAGAACTTCTTACCACAATTTTTTTCTATCTCGAGTCTGCTATCCCGTCCATGTTCTAGTGTTAAATTCAATCGGCGAGACTATAATTTATGGAGGAACCAATCAGGTAAAAAATAATAGGTCTTGGAGTTTGGAGCGAAATTTATCTATCCATCCATTTGGCTAAATAGAGTTTCGGCATTATAGCTTATGTCATTTCGTGATGAAAAACCTAAATCTTATTCCTAACCCTAACCATCAACTGTAAATCATAATTCTAATTCCTCACACATGTTTACAACCCCCATTTGGTCCTAGTTATTAGGTGCACACTCAAGGTCAAAGGTCGTCCATAAATTATAATCTCACCTTTCATTCTTATTGGATCCTCGATACACACCTATTTCTAACCTCTGTCTTGAGTTCGAAAGAGAAAACTGCAACCAAACTTGTTGAATTATATCTCAATCAAACAAGCCAGCCAACACATTCACTTCAAATATTCAGCTTATATACACGATTTATGAAGTTGCGTAACAAATCAAATAAGAAATTACAATTAAAGCACAGTCATAAGCGGTAGAGAAGATAATAATAATAATTGAGTAAGAGTAACACGCATAACACTTGGTCAATTAGAGGCTAACATTAAAGAGAACATCGAAATACAATAATACAGTTATCTACAATAAAAACATAAATAATACTAATGTGAGAAATAACTCGAAAAGTTCTAATTTTTCCAATAGTCTAGTCTTAACATATTCTGTACTTATCATTGTCAGTGTTTATTCGTGATCTCAAAAGGTTTCAAACTTGGAACCTTCATTAGTTGATGTAAGAACAGTATATTTCCACTGATTTCATATTACCAACTTCAACAGTTTCGTGTTATTGATCGATCATCATCTATTATCAGTGATGATGTATACCATATGATTGATATAATTCAAATTTATTAGTCATAGCTTCTCTTCAGAAACTCATAAATATGATTGACATTAGGAAGATTCAGGACGATTGTCCTCTGGTATTTGTTCTCTGTTTTAGTAAAATAACTTGCTAGTGAGGGATACTACCCCTAACTCAGGGTCCGAAAAGTCGGAAAAATGAAATTTCGCAAATGCGATAAAAATGATCTTGGTGGTCTAGTTACAGTATTCCGGCACCAGAAAATGGGTTTCAAGCGTTATTTAAGCCCTAACGCTTCAGGCTGGGCTATTTTGCTTACTACCCTACATATGTGTTGCATGCAGTATTAGCTATATGGCTATGTAGAGCTGAAGGTCTCATATGAAGCTGGATATTCGCCATTGGTATTGTGGATGGTTCGGCATTGCTTCGGCAAGTTTTCTGACTGTTCATACAAAAAATTGGTTTGCTGGTTAACCAATTTCATTCATACTGGTGGTTGCTTTTCGGTGTTCCCGAGGGCCATTGTCATTGGGACATTGTAAGGCATGTCGCCATTGCTAACATTAACGAGTTTGACTGTCGTGTAAGCGGAATAGGTCAACTTTGCCCTGTTCGTATTTTGCATAATTGATTCACGCGATCATTGATCGGAATAACTATACACGTAATGTGAATGTGTATATGAATGTTGCGAATGCTCCATCAAGGTGATTGATACCTGGGTGGTTGCCCCACAGGATTGAGGTGTACTATTCAGATTGTAGCGTTAAAGCCTATACGGTGTCTGGTTCTCCTGTGAAGCGGGATTGAGCTGTACTGCTCAGTTTATAAAATTTAAACCTGGGTGGTGTCTAGCTCTCCTGTTAAACGGGTTTGAGCTGTACTATTTAGGTTGTCACGTAAAAGTCCGGATAGTGTCTAGTTTTCCTGAAAACCAATGTAAAATTACCCTGGCCCACAAGGGTATATTATATAACTGTGAATAAACTAGTTGATCCTGCTAGTAGTCATTTGCTTGTCTCATATTACAATTTGCTAGTGAATGTTACATCATAATGAATGACCATAAATCAGCTATTTCATTCTTATTTGGAACAAATTATTAGTTTTCACACATCTAATTTCATCTTATCATTGTTTGCCTAGCCAGAAACTAATTTAGATTTAAACTGAATTTGATCTATTTTCATAATCAACGAATCCGTTTTAAAAAATCCATCAAACAAGATACATTTTTTCAGTTGTATGCTTTATCTTGGAGTGTAAATGAGATCACAATTAGTACTTATCTAGTACTGCGTTAATATGAGATTCAGATAAAGAGAATGTGATTACCAGTTGGCTGTATATAGAAATTACTTTGAGTGATTACAACTTTATAAATCATATACTAATTGCACTAAAAACAATGTTAGACTTTAATTTGTATTTCATTCTGATATCCCCAATAAAAATTTTAAAAAAATCTTGGCGCTAAAATAAAATGTGGGTGATTTAAGAAAAAAAGCAACTTTTAACCGCTGTAAAATTGTTGTCAACGATCACATGACAACAACTACAAAAATCAATACATTAACAAAGTAAAGTGAATAGAGTCTACAGATATGCAAAAATGAAAAAAAATTCATGGACTGGGATAAAATAGTATGTTACATAATCAAATGCTAGGAACTCAATTTACCAGGATAACGGACCATTTCGATGATGATTAGAAATAAGCAAACACTGAAGCCTAAGTAAATTAACTGACCAGTTAAATAGAATATTGTAAACAACTATAATGTGGCTCCAATGTTTTACTGGAGCCTATGATACTTTCTTGAAAGTGTCTTTTGAATCCAGGAAAGCATTGAAATCGGTCCGATGACTGAGTGTTTCTAGGGTATCTACCTATAGAATTTTAGGAGACAATAAATTGCATTTCCATCATCCTGATTAAAAATTACTAACGTACGTACCTACCTACCTACCAGTTTTATCATGTTTTCCAGAGGTTTCGTGAGTCTCAAGCCATATTCAATTGTATAATGACCCTCATATTCTGTGCAAAAGATCCGCAATACATTCTACCCTTTGTTTCCTGTATGAAATTCAAGAGTGGAATACTAAGTGGCAGTTAGGAAGTCGTCGTCCAAACGTTCGACTATAAGAATTATTACAATGATTAAAAACGTGTTTTTACTCGATGTCAAGACATTTGAGATAAGATGTGGCTTTAAAAAAACACAGTTTATTAAATAGTAGCTACCTGGTCATTTGTAAGTTGATTATCCTTGTTCGAAAGTTTATTTGCACCATTGAACTGCTCTCCAACAGTGATATCTTGAAATATTCCATCTAAACTACCAATCTGATTGCCTACTTGACCATCTGAGAAGGTACCATTAATTGATTGATGCTTTGTCTGTTTCAGCAAATAATCTTTGTAAAGGGGTAGTAATGGAGAACTATGTATTATGTTTTCATGATTATGATTTTTCATAAATGCTACTTTTGCTTCATTAGAATTTATAATTGGCCAATATGTCTTCAATGTTTCATCAAGAACCATAGATTTCCTACAATTACTTTCACATGGTACTTGAGACTGTTGTATCCACTGTGTTGGATGTTGTAATGTAGCAAAATTATTCAAATCTGTAATCAAATTCTGTTGATCACCTAAAGATTGTAGATGAAGATTACCTGCAGTACGTGGAAATGTTTGATGATTATCACTTGTTGAAATTGGTTGAGATTGAAAGTTTTCCCATTCAGTAATTGTTCTCTGCTTTGGAGTTTCAGTTAGTTGTGAATCACTTAGGCCACCAAAATAGCCTAATGAGGAAACATTTTATGCGGTACATTGTAATTATATTATAAATAATGAAACGATCAGGTTGTCTTAATTAATATAGTCAATATAAAATACCTTTTTGTATGAGACTGGAAAGTGTACCAGTTTCAGTAAAATAAATCTATGATTATTCATTAATTCTATAAAGTTTCAACAGTACGAAATCAATTTTGGTAATGTGAAAAGTTTCACTTAAATGTTTTCTAACCATAAGTGTCTACGGACCAGCAATGAGATCATTATCTCAAAGATTTGATCTGTCGAACATAACACAGAGTCATCAATCTATTTCCATTCACCTTTATTTAACAGATAACTTAAATATGAAGATATTTGAAATCAAGCAGAATCGTTTCACCAATAAAAGTGGCATATGTGTATACTGTTCGTATTGCCTCGATATTGCCTTAATTCACAAGTATTCTACGAAAATATGGATAGTGGATAGCAGTGGAATCCACGACGCGCGTTTCGTCTTATCTGGGACTCTTCAGCTAGATGTACCTGCATCTCGGAGTTGATGTTCACCCTGGGGCTCGAACCCAGTACTATTCGCTCCAAACGCCATCGTGTTATCCACTTACCTATTGAGTCCTGATAGTCACTTGCTTGTGCAATGGGGTGAAGTTTAAATTCACATACATAGTACATAGTATAAAATAACTTAACAAATTTCCTGAAAAATTAATGTTGCCAATATTTATGTTTAATTTCTTAAGTTATATCGATTCGGAATCAGTAGGGTCAAGGTGAATCTTGTCGTACGTATAAACCAATTGAGTAATCATTGAAAACTAGTGAATACTGAGCACTTGTTTCGCTCCACCGTGAAAATTCTTAAGTGGTTTGCGACACAATTCTAACGGGGTTCAAGCGCAAGACCCTTAGGTCTCGTGACAAGCGAACTATGTAGGTGGTCATGAGTTAGATTCCTTTGCTCTATATTTCCAACATTGATCATTCAGTGCTGTCGTATGATATCACTCAACGAAATATATATGGATACCTGTCATGTTTGACCCAGAAATGTTGATGCGGATCAGCTATCCAGTACACCTTGTTCCTCAGCTAATAAAAAACAACATCTTGGCAGTAAGCAACCTCGATCCCGAACGCGGGACTTAGACCCCAGAACCCTCGGTATCGAGTGCGGATGCTTAACCTCTAGACTACTGAGTTGGCCGGCATTCAACGGTATTAATGTCTAACTTCAACCAATCCATAATATTGTGCGACCGTCCTCCATTGTCTTCAGTGAGTAACTGCCTCACAACAGACCCCGTTGAACTCCACCGGTCACTGCTTCTCACTAGTACTCCAGAAAATATCTCTTGAAGTCAGTCAGTAGTGAGCACATGAAGTTTAATATCATAAGGGGTGTTATGGAGATTGTAATAATTTCAATAGTTGAGATCACGAGTCAATTGAAAGGATACGGCCATCCAGTTCTTCCACGTTTTCCATGGTGATCTAGCTTCAATTCACTCATGATCTCAACTATGGAATTTACTACAACATCCACAAAAACCCTTTCTTAAATTGATTATTTATTTAACATTTTGAAGTCAGTTGATTAACTGAAATGTTTGTTATTGAAGAGCTTACTGACTTTCGTATGTACCTATTTCTTCTGCTTCTTAGTCATTCTAACATAAAGTCAAAATGTTAATATATTTGGCTTATGCAACAAAAATTCAATGAATAAATGAATACATAATAAATAATTTGAGATCCACTTACAACAAATCAATTGAAGTGCCTGGTGATTGCTTTATCATGACGAGACCTACTCACTATCAAGTATCAACAGGCAATATCAAGGAATAAAATCATGAAATATATGAAATGCTTCTATTTATGTAAAACGACATTATTTCAGCACAAACAATTACAAATACAAGTCAAATGTTAAACACATACCTCTAGGATATCGAGATTTCAAATGTAATCGATACCATATACAAAATGTAATCAGTGCAATGAATATAATTAGTAATACACCAGCAAGTGAACCAAGTATTACAATTAACACATAACTGTCATGTTGATAACTTTTAGTTAATTTACCAGTTAAATCATTTTTATTACCAATTTGTCCTGTCATTTTAGACTTTATATTTGATGTTGATTGAGCAAATGAATCCTGTGTAGAATGAGAAAAAGTAAACATTTATAAGTATGAGATTTAAAATGATACAGTATCCGATGTATATTTCATTCAGTAAGACAATGATAAATGTATTTTAATTTATTCTATGCTAAACTCTGAAAACGAATTCTGCAATCAATTAGGTAAGAGTCTTGATTATTGATCATATCAATAGTGATTTGTAGTTCCCCATTATTGAAATAAGGGACTGAAATTGGCTAACCTATGTCATCATATGAACATTCTGAGTAGATTCCCTCTCTATAGCTATTTGTAATATGTTCTGCTGAATCGTTCAAAGCTAATATTATGATGTTCGAATCTCAGCGTGGATGTCTTTACGAGGATGTAGTCTGGTTGTAGTGAACGATAACACAGGCAAGGATAACCAAATATGTTTGAAAACAAAATTACAGAATTATTTGGTGAAATGCGAATGGTACATGTTCAATGCTTCATTGCAAATTATCCATCAATTGTCTCAATCTTTGTTATACCTTCGTTTCTATACCAATCACTCTCTGTTCTCATTCTTTTCAATCCGATCTTCTCAATCTTCCACTGATAAGCATCCCACTTTCATTTGGCGTTACAAACTACTTATATCTGTCAACACAAGTAGTACACATTACAGGTTGACAAGTCCCAGATGAAGATAAACAAGTAGCCTGAATTCCAGTGTATTAGAAAATTCGAGTATCATTGAAATCATGAACTAATCTAGGTTAGATCACCAATTAAAACCTAGAAACACTTGGTGGCTGTTTTGTCCTACTACGGGACTACTCAGTAGGGCTCATCTATGGTCCCGAACACAGGAATCGAACCCAGTGCCTTTGGTCGGGCGCGCGAACAATTAATCTCTAAACCACTGGACTGGCGAGGTCATGCATTCGTACTGCTGAGCAACCCTATATTAGAAATGCAAGGCCGTCCAGTGCTTCTAGGTTTTCAATGATAGTCTAACTTAGATCGGTTCATAATTTCAATAAAATCCAGAAATCTCCACATCATACTGAAAATTCAAATATGTTACATCTATTATACTGTTTATATAAAAATGCCTTCAAAATTTTGGATAACATTAAATTCAATTAAATATAAATTCCTTCTATTATTTAACACTAATATGCTTATCGTAACTTTCAATATTACAGAATTATTCCTCACAGGCACACATGTATGTTTATTAGAGTCCTTGGGACATATAAACTTACAGTTTTTACTGGAAATTGATCTTTTAACTCAAATATCTCAAAAATAACGTCTTTAATTGTAATAATGAATCAATCACACAGGAAGCTCTATGATTTACTCAATGAATGCCATAGTTTCCACTTCACTGTCTCTAACCATGTGACACCCTTCTTCATTTTTTTGACATTTAGCGGTTGATTTAATACAGTCTCATAGAAATGTTTCAAGCCTATACGGATAACGTTTTAAATAATATGAAACTGAGCTTTAGTCGATACGTAGCTCATTATAACTCATCTTTGAAATCTTTGGTTAGAATTGACTTAGTAAGTCATAACGATGTTTGAATTGACCAATACTTATATTTGGACCTCTTCTTGGGACACAGTAGTAGCGAATATATAATTGTAAAGCCTGAATATAAAGTAGTTATTGAGTTCTAATCTACACTGACGTCTTCTAATATTAGATGAGAAATTTGCAATTACATTATAGTTTAAATCCTAAAAGTAATTCGGTATGTTGCATGTAATATTTAAGGGACTTGTGTAAATGTTCGTGTCATTATGAGATTGGTTTTAACTGATATGATGTGACATTTTGTCAAGTGATAATTACTATCATCAACAAAATTGATAATGTAATGCCTTTCAAGGCACGAAATAACAGGAGACGAAATAGTTGACTAGATCATTTCTGGCAGAATAGTACATTGCTAGTTCAAATTTTATGCATAAAAACAAATCTGGTTAAAAACTCATTTGAAATTCTTTAGCATACGAGTTCAGACTAATCTCCAGTAGAGAAAAATTGATAATTTCTAATCAAACTAACTTCTTATCACTTATATAAATAGTACTTTCTGAATAATATTGTTAGTTTAACCTTGATAAATATATTCTACCTATCAAGCATTAGGAAACATTTCAGTACTGTCTATAAATGTGTTATATATAAGTACACTTTCACTTCATGTACAGGTTTCTGTTGATGATATCGTTCAGAAGAACGATGAAAGCTTCACGACTAAACTATCCAGCTTAAAGAATAAAATTCCATTAAAATCATCTACCTGAGCTACAAATCTTCTTCACCATCATGCAGCAATTTGGAAAACTCTCCCAGTCTCCCACATTGTACGAGCATTCGATGTACCTAAATAAATGGTTGCTCTGGTTGTCAGAAGAGACATCGGCCTCGTGACTTCCGAAGGAACACGGCTTTCATCATGAGGCGTCATAACTCTCCTAAATGAAGACCTTCTGATTCTCAGGGCAGAGTTTAAATAGCTTAAATAATTTTTTCTGGTTAGTGTATTTGTAGCAAATTAGTTTTTCACAGGATGGGGTCGCTAACCCTATGCCCAATCCTCCTCATTTGTCGGGCTTGGGACCAGCAGTAGCCCCCAGAGGGCCTCCAGGCGGAGTTCTTCACCATCATATAAGTATGGTAATGATAGATAATCAAAACCACTGTGAGGAGTGATAAACAAACAGCAATTTAAGCCAATATACTTACCGCCATTTTATTTATATTTTCATTAGTTGAATTATTTGCAAGAAAATTATTTTCATTATTCAATGATGAAGTAATATTTGGTAAAGTTTTTTGAACAGCTTCATTACTTAAACGAGTAAAGTATTTTTGATGTTGATAATGATCAATTTTTGTTACTTCAATATAAACAGATACCTAAAAATGAAACAAACTAGTAAGTTAAAAAAGAAAATATATTTTGAATATATTACTTATAATCCAAAATAGGTTCTTTAATTGAACACTACTAGTCGAGTTAAAGCTTATGGTGAACTGTCATCTGCTTTCGCAACTTCAAGTGGTGTCCGTCTAAGTTGTCCACTTTCTTCATTTTTCCTTTGTTTAACTTCATCATAGACCTACTGATGGAAATAACATTCTAGTCGATTGAATTCTCAGGAATTGATCTACCAGGAAATCCATTTATCAACTTAGTATACTCAGATGATATAGTCCTGTTTGGTGAAGACGCTGATAAAATACAGAGTCTTTTGGTAGCATTGAGAAACAATGCCAGAATGTTTGGAATGCACTATTTTCCCTCTAAACGCAAATGTTTGCTACAGGACTGGCCTAAGTTAACACCTTAACTAAGAATAGGGAGTGAAGTAGTCGAACGCGTTGACAACTCCACTTATCTTGGAAGTCTGATCAGCACAAATGGGTTGGTGTCTGACGAAATCTCAGCACGGATTCGAAAAGCGCATTTGGCTTTTGCAACTTACGTCACCTATGGCGAAGGCGAGATATCCGTCTATCAATTAAGGGGTGAGTATACTGCGAGGCAGTTCGTTCTGTTCTATTTTACGGCTGCGAAACATGGCCATTAAGAGTAGAAGATACTCTTCAGTTACTAGTATTTGACCACAGATGCCTTAGAAATATTGCTCGCATCTTCTGGGATCACCGGATAAGTAATAGTGAGGTTAGACACAGGGTATTAAGGATTGATGGTTATTCAGTTGATAAGGTTTTAAGTCTTCATCGACTGAGATGGTTGGGCGACGTGTTACGTATGCCTGAACACAGATTACCACGACGCACGATGCTGACTAGTGTTGGAGACGGCTGGATGAAAGTTAGGGGCGGCCAAACCAAAACGTGGCATCAGTCCTTAAAATCAATAACTTCCAGTCTTAGTCATGTTGTTAGATGCAGATCACTTCGTTGGGATCCGCGTGACTGTCGTAACCAATGGTCTGAGACTCGTTGTGACATGGCTTAGAATTGATCACAATAGTGTAGTTGTATACACTCTCTGTTTTCCCTTAAACTATGAGATTTAAAATTGCTTCATATCTTTCTAACAATTAATTTCTTCTTCCCGTACTATGTTGTTATATGCAATCTTTCTTTCATATATTCTATGAATCCGGCGTTCATCTTGTTGTGCTAATGAGTTATGGCAACTCAAACCGATTCACATGTGTGCCTGGTTCTACGTTGTAACTGACTGACTGACTGAATCTAAACTGTAGATTTTGGAGGGAAACATTAAGAATAATTATGATAATCAGTTAGTGTTTCATAATATTCTGTTATTTCTAAATATAGACCCGAAGTTATGAAGATTCACAAGCATGAGTGTTTTATTTTTATAACTTATAAAATATATTCCCTTAGTTGAGGAACAATAGGTTGATTCATACGATGATGATGACTTTATAATGAAATTAGTTTTTGGGCATTCTAAGTAGAAGGGAACATCTAGAAACACTGTTTGATTAAGAACGCATTAATTAGTAGGTGAACATTTTTTTAAGGAGAACATCACAACTTAAAATTGTAAAAACTAATTTTGTCACTGTTATATCTCGATGAAAATTATGAATGGTAACTTTTAAGAATTATTTACGGACCAATACGATACATATATTTTTACTGTATATTTATTAAGCAGCTAAACTAACCATAGTTGTATTCCTCTTATTATAAGCTTTGTTTCAACCTATGAACTATTATTATATGATTTGCCATTCTTCAATTATGCCCAATCTATTAATTACAGTCTCCCACATTCACAGGCATTTTTGGCTAGATCTTGTACAAATGTTATTTTCTATTTTCTGATACGATATGGTCTGTTTGGTTTGTATATAAACTCAGTATGTTTAAAATACATAATTCATATCGCAGAGGCTGAGATTAATGTTCCGAACTTAACAGGCAAAACTAGGCCGGAAGCCGGACCGATAAGGACTTTAGACTGATCGCACAGGTTTTACGCGTCATTGGTCCGTTCGGTAAGTCACTGTTCTTTAATTAGCAGTACCACTACGTTATATATTAATAGGGCATTAGGCCACAAGTCATAACAGTTTCCACTGAGAACAGATTAAAAAGGAGGAATGTACAACCTGAAGCCCACTATTCATATTTTACTGTTCATTTAAGCTTAGAATACGGCTAAAGTATCTTATTTCTACACAAAAAGAGTTGATTTATCAATTACAAATCAAACAAATAGATTTCGAATCTATCGAACATTTTATACGCTTTTGTCGTGTATTTTTTGTCACATACCTGTTGTTATGATCTCTTTAAATATAGTACTTTCATGGTATATGCTACTTATGTCGACATAAGTAGTATATAATGCTAGTTGGGAATAGAATGTCCGGTAACAGAAGGTTTGAGGTATATCGATGAAAGTAGTACAAGAACGGAAAGCAATTGGTATGAAAATGTAGGAACAATCAAGTCTTAGACATTTAATGAACATTTTACAAATGAAGTATTAGAGTATGATTTTTCTATTTTTATCAAGTAACTCTGTTTTATTTACTTCATTCACTCAGATCCAAGTATTTTGAGTTTTTTATATTACATTCCTATCCTATTTTAATTTCTTCATCAAAGTTCTCATGCTTAGGTATCGAATGAATGGCTACCATATCATTTATTGTTATTATTATCATGATGGATCATATGCTTAATCTCTTTATTATTTGTTTGGTTGTGCTGGGTCGGCTTCCGGAGAACTTCAACGGAGCCTCCAGAGGCCCAAAAAGGAGCTGAAGGGCCCTAGCCAACCAGAGTATGATGGAACGTTCGAGAATTCCAGCGTGGCATGCTACCATTGGTCGGTAGCATAATATGACGTTAACGGATTGGCTGAAATAAGATGTTGATTTAACAGACGCCAACATCTATAAATACCCTTTATTTTCTGTACTAAAAGGAACCTTGGGATAAAGTGTTTTCTCTCATACTTGTGTCTTCTCTCTCTGGAGTTCCAGTCATTGTGTAGTTCTAGTCTGCGGGTTACGGGAATAGCTTAGGATTCGTATGTAGCGTTAAACCTACACGACTTATCAGGTTGTAAACATTTTTATCAGTATAAATAACCAGATCCATATTCATGCGTTCATCTTAGTTGATTGAATAACTCTTTTTTCTCAGTATTATAATAAAAATTGATTATAGTATTAACAGTATATGGATTGTGTGCTTAATTGGGAGAAAAGCAATTTATTGTTTCGAACAAAAAATGAAAGTATCTTCATTACTTATAAAAACCATACATCCAACCACCATCTAGTCTCAATATATAGTGCACGCGCTGTCGAGTCACCTAGACTGGTGGCCACATTGCAACATGGTCGATAGCAATCGATCTGCACTAAATAAGGACTTGACACACGTGACATTGATCACCATCCAGTGATCAATCGATTGTGAATTCATTTGTATATTTTTCATTAATTGTTCTTTATATCCTTCATGATTCTTTTAATTCTTAATTTTTTTAAGAAAAAAATGTTTTCTTCAGTTCAATCTTCTTCCACTTTTGATTAGTGTTACATACTACTTACATCTATCAAATATAAATAGTATACAATATAATAATAATGCAGTGAACAGAACACGAGAGGGGACAATTGAATGTGTTTGTCACAAAATTACAGGACATGTTAATAAAATCTAACAGTCATAAAGTAAATGCTTAATTTGCAAAATGCTCATCAATTGTCTCAAAATGACTCAGACTTCATTGTTCTTTCATTTCCATACAAATCGCATCGTGTTTTTCCATTCTTTACTGTTCGATCCTCTTGTCTCTCTACTATCAGACCTTCTGTTCACGACTAACATCATATACTAAGACGAAACGGCCGTCTAGTGCTTCCATGTTTTCCATGGTGGTCTGGCTTCAATTGACTCATGATTTCAATCTGTGAAATTTCTAAAATCTCCACAAACCTCTTTCTGATATACTACTTATGTCAATATAAGTAGTACACACCACAATAGTAATAGTAAATATAATAATTTAATTACTAATATTTATTAAACTTACTGAATATGTTACATTAGATTGTAATCCATCAAGTAAATAACCTTTCAATGAACTATCACTATTTATTCGACGTATATATAAATCATCTAATTGATTGATTTTAGATAAATCCATTGGAAATTGTTTATCATTATTCAATATAAATTTAGTCCATAATTCTAATAAAGATTTCCGTTCATTTAGATTCTCAGATAAATTACGATAGATTATAATGAATGTTATATCTTTATAATTAGTTAGATCAATGGATGTATATGAATGATTTCTTGATTGTATATAAATCCATTCAATATAGAGACATGTATTATTCTAGAAAAAAAACACAACAAAATAATGAAATTTGGAAGATTAAAAAAACTACTCTGAAGAAGTTCAGACAAGTTTGTTGGACGAAACACTGGAATTATTTTAATTATATATATATAGCGTTTACAGATTGTTATATCCCGGTAAGAATAATAAATGGTAACTTTTGGGATCTATTTATAGACCAATACTATGCCTATATTTTTATCGTATAATTATTATGTAACTAAACTGTTCATATTTCATGTCCCTCTTATTATGAGTTTTATTTTGACCTATGAACTATTACTATCCGATTTACCATTCTTGAGTTCTATCCAGTCTATTAATTATTACCTCCCTCATTCACAGACAAATTTGGCTAATTCTTGTACAAATGTTGTTTCATATTTTATGGTACGTTGTGGTTTGTCTGGTTGATATAATAACCGAGTATGTTTGAAGTAAATGATTCATATTGCAGAGGCTGAGATTGGTGTTCTGGACTTAACTGGCTAGGCTAGACAGGAAGCGAGACCAATCAGGACTCTAAGCTTCTCGCACGTGCTTTATGCGTCACTGGTTCGATTAATAATCCGCTGCTCTCTGATTGGCGGTATCGTTGCGTTATACAATAAACAGGGCACACAGGTTCACAAGTTATAACGCAGATCTCTATTATATTAAAAGAGTAATATATTGAACTAAGAATATTTTTTTGTTGTTCATAAATTCTTTTCAGGTTCCTACAATTCATATTATCTAAATTAATAACCTGAAAAATGATCAAGTTAAGGGTAATGTACATTATAACTAGTTTGTACTAAATGGGCTAATATCAGGCTGTTTACGTTTTTCACTAGACCTTTGCTTAGCCAAACTGAGAGGTGTTCACGAGCACAAAAATGTAAACTCTTAAGACATTGTTTGACAATCGTAAATTCACATGCTTTGAACGATGTTTTCGACTACTCTAAGATATTAATGAAAATTCAATTCATAAATCACAGATCATGTAAACAAATAATGTTCACAAGCCTATACTGATAATTACAATGTGTTCACCAGTGACTAGCTTCGTCAGGGAATTCTCGCAGTTCTTTTGAGAAGCTGTGACCAGTGGAGCTAATCCGTGTTGGATAGAGACAGGTATCTAAGTCAGTACAACGGAAGTTGGTCGCGGAATTTCGTGGATTGGTTGATGTTAGATACTATCACCACTGGATGCCGGCTCAGTGGCCCAGTTGGTTAAGCGTTCACGCGCGAGACCAAAGGCCCTGGGTTCGAATCCCGCGAGCGGGATCGTGGATGCGCACTACTGAGGAGTCCCACAATAGGACGAAACGACCGTTCAATGCTTCCAGGTTTTTAATGGTGTTTTAACATCGATCAGTTCATGATCTCAGTCAAAAACTTAATAATCTCCACAATTTTATACTGAAAATAGTATGTCGACTTACTGTAGTCATCTGACTGTAGAAGTTAAAACATCACCTTTAATGTATTTAAATTGAGATTAAAAGGGCATATTAACTGAAAGTTATGAAAAATTCAAATGTTATCAATTCAATTTGTTCAATGATAAATTTACAACCAACAGTAGAATGATGGAAGTAATACATTTAGTTTCTAGAAACAGCTCATGTCATATTAAGCTCAACTTTGTCAACCAGGGAACTGTGCACATATAATACTCACAAATTGTGTCACTACCTTGACTGACAGAAGTTAAACAACTGGAATAAAATCCAGTGGTTTAAAGGTGACGCAATCACATTAAAGCCTACGTTTAGTCTTCAAATTTGAATTGTACATGTTCACTGTCAATGAATCCCATACCAAGTCAAAACAATTGTTCAGTGTTTTGTGATATTGTTCTCGAGAAATCATTCCACGTTATAAATAGTCAAATTATAGATAATATATCCATGTGTGATCTCTTTGTTAAAACATGGACTTTAGTTTAAACTAGAGTTAACAAAATATTTTACTGTCATTTGAAATAAGTGACCCCCAATCACTCTTACAACTGGTATACAATACAAAACGTTTTTAGACATCATTTCCAAGGTATTTAAGGTGAGACTATAATTTATGGACGAACTTCGAGAGACGCTAAAGTGACCTTGAAAATATTCACCTATTCACTAGGGCTAAATGAGGGCTATAATGCACTAGGATGAATTAAAATTAGTATTTACAGTTGCTGGTTAGGGTTTTCATCACGAACTGACATAAATTAATAAAGGTCGAAACGTTATTTAACCATATGGATAAATGGATTTCGTGCCAAAATTCAAGACCTACTACCTCATCTCTCATTCGTTCGTTCATAAATTATAATCTCGCCGTGCTTAAATATGACGCTGAGTCGGCACTGCACAAGCACCTTCATGTTATGTATTTGACCAGCTTTAGTTTATTTCCTTAAAAAAAGAAACTGTTAAATATATATTGAAATGTAAAACAAAAGATGTTGCTGCTATAAATAACTATCCTTCTGAAATTTATAATCTCGAAGTTGTAACATTGTAAATAAACACAAATATGAGAATGTTATCCCTGAAATCATTAGGTGTTTATGTACAATCAATATATAGATTAGCGTATTTTCTACTAGAGTCGTCGTTGTCATAGTGTTTTGGGTTAATAAATCATCACTTATACCAGTCTTTGTATTCTTACTTTCGCGTCGTGGGAATTGCAGAGGTCCCTCGTTCCTAGTATAACGACGACCAGACACAAAAAGTAGCATTAAAAGAGCCAAGACAATAAGCATTCAAACGACAAATTATAACAGTCTGTTACTTTATTCATTACATTATTACAAGAGCATTACAATATTACAGGGTAATGAATTTGTAACGAAATAAATAAAACGCTCGCGCGCGAGACTAAGAGGTCCTGGGTTCGAATCTTGCGAGGCAGGACAGTAGATGCGCACTGCTGAGAAGTCCCATACTAGGATGAAATGGCTGTCCAGTGCTTTCAGGCTTTCCATGGTGTTATAGCTTCAAATGACTCATGAATTCAATTATTGGATTAAAATGTTTTGAAAATTCAGAAGATATCAAACTATTTCCATCCAATAGCTATAATTGTTTGTCCATCTTAATATTGGTGTTTGTAATATATCATTTTAAAAACTTACTATTTGAGGTATATATATAACAAGATCTAAAACTTATTCAGTGACTATGTATATAAAAGGATATTAATTACTAATTACCAACGACTCAGTTACAACAAGAAAATGGTGAATACAACAGAAAAGTACTCAGTGAAGCAGAAAGACACATTATTCTTTTGTCTATTCCGCTCCATTTACTTATTAGTTAAAACTATTATTTGACATTATTAACTTGTTATTGATACAAATTGTTTATGATTTATTCAGTTTATGAGAAATGGGTAATTTATCAACTTCTCTGTTTTGTAATCTGCATTACGCTCATTGTATAATTCTGATTAGTTTAGGGGTGTATTTTCTGGGGTAGTGACAACTATGTAGATCTATGTAGAGGTTGTAATTTTTTTTATTAATGATATATTTAGAACTCATATTGACTAATCTCTGTTGTCTTATGATCATCCGAAGTAAATTATATCATTATAGCGTGACGTGACAAGTTTTACTTTATTTTCGGTATGGAACTAGCAATGGAATCCAGAATACATGTTTCGTCAATACAATACCAAAATACAGGTAACATCCAATTGACGAAAGCCAAATAGTACAAAGTATGTGTTCTGGATTCCACTGCCAATCACATACTAAAATAAGTAGGTCATGTTAACTCAATACCTGTTCTTTGATTGGATAGGTAGTTTGATTTGATTATCTGAAGTTGAACGCATTTATATACCATCAAATTTACGAAAAGGAAATACATAAATCGGTTATGCACTTTGTTAAAAAGTGAGTATCTTAGAAAGAAATTCGTAATAAGCCATTTATTAGGATGAATAATTGATATAAATAATATGAGTACTTTGCATTTGTTAGGATAGTCGGAAAAAGAGACCAATAATTATCATGTTAAGTCCAATGGTGTCCTTGAACCTTAAATGTACATTTCTTATTGGTCGATGTTTATTTCACTTGTTAAATATTTTGTAAATGTTGTTTCCTATTTTATGGTACGATGTGGTATGCTTGGTTGGTATATAAACAAAGTATGTTTGAAATATAATGATTCATAACTCCGAGGCTGTGACTTGTGTTATTGACTCAACTGGCTGGGACAGACAGCGAGGCAGGGCCAATCAGGGCACTAGGTCGTCCTTACATGTTTACGTGTCCACTGTCACAGAAGCGATCGATAATAAACGCTGCGTATCTAAAACCTGCAGTCACACCCGTTACAACAGTATTATTTAGTTGATAGGTAGAAAAACACTTGTACGTGTAAAGTTTACATGAAAACCACTTTTAGTCTAATACATCTGTCTATAATTTCATCACAAGAGAAGTTATCATCAGTGCTATTGGATTATGGTCACCACATAAGATTAATCAAACAAAAGCGGAAATACTGAGAGTTGGATACTAATTAAGCTGTATAATTACATCGATATTGCCGCGAAACGTAAGAGTTTAATCACCTACGACGTGTGCAACTAAAAGTATCACGATATAAAAAAATATTTTTAAGCAGAAGTGGATGTTGGCTAATATCTGTTATCGTTTCTTCTGTACATGAAGCCAGGATTTCTTTCATCAAATGCATCAAAGTTTATTTTTATGATCATATAATAGAACACCAATAATAACTTTGAATGGAGAAACATCTATATGGATTTTAACATGAAAGCAGATACATTGTACTCAAAGACTAAAACAGGACACTCACAATTAATAAGATTAACAGAAATATCTTAAAATCAAACCTACATAAATATAAAATGTAACGAGAAGTTTCAAAAACGTCGGCAAGAATATGAACTATAATGAAACATATAATTCATTTCTATGATAAAAGTTGGAATTCTTAGGACAGAAGTTAGAAAGTCCTATACACACGATATACACAACTTGAGAGTTTGAAAATGTGCTTTCTTAATATCAGATAGCTCAGTGGTAACGTCGCTGACTATGAAGCAGGGTGACACGGGATCGAATCCGTTAGGGAGCACCAGTCCCCTCAAAATTACAGGTACACCTTGCTAACGAGTGCCAAGTAGCACGAAACCCGGGTCCAGGGTTTCCTATAACAGGGTTTCCTGTCGACAACCTCCAACCACCATCTAATATCAATATATAGTGCACGCAATGTCGAGTCACTTAGACTGATCGATAGCAATCGATTTGCACTAAATAAGGACTTGATACACATGAGATTGATCACCACCCAGTGATCGATCAATTGTGATCAGAGAATCAATCTCTTACCCATCCACTATGAGGCAATCAGCTATATCTCAATGTATATTTTTATCTTGGTTGTTCACCTCTCTGTTACTTAAATTTCAATTCAGTAATAAATTAATACACTTCTATAGCAACTTTAGTCATCGTTTTTGATGGATCTTAATAAATATTAAACGGAATTATAGAAAAACCTCCTGGAGCCCCTCTGGAGTTACTGTTTGTCCCAAACCCGGATAAAGGAGGAGAATTGGGTATGCGGTTAGTAACCTCATCCCGTGGAAGATTAACTTGTCAAAAAACGCTAGCCAGGAAAATATTTTAAGTAAGGATTTATAGAAAAGGATATGATTTGAATAAGAAAGTTTCAAAGGTGTTACAATTTAATCAATGCTAACGGTTAAACATATAGAATGTGAGACAAAACTATTAAACAAACTACTTAATTATTGTTTCAGTATACTGAGAAAGAAACCAAAACCTTAATCAACTTACAGTTTGATTTCCAGTTAAAAATAATATCAATCCATTTAATTAGTGAGATATATGCAAACCCTTACTACTCTTTTAGACGATGCTTAGGTGATAGAATTATTTGGATAAATTTTTAAAGAAGCATGTACACTGAAAGTGGTTTTACTGCTTCGAAACTTATTAGATGAATGCAATTGTATTTGAGTAATGGTTCATAACATGAGATATCGATATCACTCTCATATTATTTAGGATAATAGAAATGATTAAGTCTACTCTAACGATAAAACTAAACGACAAAGATAAGATGAAGGGTAATTTTGTTGAAATCTAGGCAGTAAAATATGTAAGAATGATCAGAGAAGGCTTTTATGAATATTATAGTAATTTGATAGTTGAATTCATGAGTCAATCAATGCTAGACCACCATGGGAAACTTGGAAAACTGGAAAGCTGTTTTGTCATAGTGTGTAACTCCACAGCAATGCCCACCTCGCGAGATTCAAAAATCTATTCTGAATAGTGTTTTATTCCAATTTCGGTAACACTATAATTTATCAACGATATTTGACCGATGCACTGGTGACCTTAAGAATGTTCACCTACTTACTAGAGCTAAATGAGTGTTATAAATCTGTGTGAAGAATGAAGATTATGATTTCAAATTGATGATTAGAGTTAGGAATTGGATTTGTGGTTTTAATCACGAACCGACATAAGCTTAAATAACAAAACACTATTTAGACAAATGGATAAATGAACTTCGCACCAAAATCCTAAACCTGTGATCTTAAATCTGACTAGTTTATCCATAAATTATAGTCTCCACTAAATGACAGTAAATATGATTAGGTAAATATTGACAGTATTTTCTTTTATAAGCAAAGGTGTATAGTAGCTAACAGTGTAATCCAGGACGCACGTTTCGTTCTATTTGGGACTCGTCAGCTGGACGTACCTACATCTCAGAGTTGATGTTCACTCTGATACACGAACCCCGTACCATTCGCTTCAAACACCATCGCGTTATCCACTTAGCTACTGAGTCCTGATAGCTCTTTGTTTATAAAATGGGGTAAAGTTTTATTCACTTGGTGTTATTTACTTGTATCTTCCGATTGCTATTTACGACTGTAATTGATCAGTCTCTTGTTGGTATATGTGTATCTTGTGCGGATTGCCTCGATATTGCCTAAAGTCACAAGCATTATAAGCAAAGATTTACTTTTACTGAAAAACATTTCAAAGTTTCTATTAAAAAAACAACAACTATGCTTTCACGTCAATTTATGCGACATCAGTTTAAATGTAGACAGAAATCTATTTTATTTTGATTGTGTATTTAAAAACAAAATCAGGGTCAGTAAACTACTTTGTATAAAGTAAAATTGTGTAGATAAATAAAATTTATGTTTGTTTAAATGTTGACATTCACTAAAGATTATCTAGATCATTCTGAACAGTTTAGACAAGGAATTGACACAATGTAATGCTTCTAAACGTATCTAGGGATTATCGCAACAATCCACTGTGTCTTCTTTTTTGTTTTGTTTTGGATTGGACAAAATAAAAGAAAGTATGTATAGTTAAACATTAAACTATCTAAATTCAATTCGCTTTGTTTAACTGTATTTTTCCATTTTTATTTAGGGCTGTAATTGATCAGTCCTTTGTTGGTATATGTTTATCCTGTGCGGACTACCTCGATATATCTCAACTCTGAGATGCAGGCACATCTAGCTGACGAGTCCGAAATAGGATGAAACGCATGTCCAGGATTCTACTGCTAGCCACTATCTATCTTTGATTAAAAAGCTTGTGACTTAAGGCGATATCGAGACAATATGCACAGGATCCACATATGTAAATACGAGACTGATCAATTGCAGTCCTAAACATCAATGGGAAGATACAAGCAAACAATACTAAATGAATTTACAATTAATTATGTTTCAAATCCATTCAACTTACATTAGCTACAATTGATATAATTTGTAAATTAGTATCAAGCATATTATCAAAATTCACTGGTTCTGTCCAAGGGCTCCATAGTTGGTGTTCTAAAACCAGTACACGCAAGCTAGAATCAAGTAAACGAAAGAAAATACAAAAGAAAACAAGTTGATTTAATCGCATTTTTTAAATATCGAAATTGAGCATTGAGCAGTAAAAGTTTCATAAGAAAAGAGAATTTTAGAAGTAACTACAGTTGAATGAATTTATGAATGAAATACCATTTCATGTAAGATGGTTGACAGTAGTTAATAGGATACACAATCAATGTTTATTTCATATATAAAAAGGTGGACTTCCTTAAGTTCTAATGAGGAGCAGTCATCAGTGGAGTTCAATCCATATCGAGTGGAGATAGTTATCCACTTCAGATAATGGATGAAGAAATTCACAAGATCATAGATCTTTTGAAACTCGGCATGAACATCATTGAATGCTGGATCAGTAGTCTGGAGGTTAAGCGTTAGCTCACGAGACCGAAGGTCGTGGGTTCGAGTCCCACGTGCGAGATTATGGATGCCCATCGCCGAGAAGCCCCAGACTGGGACGAAACGACTGTTTTCCAGGTTTTCAATGTTTATTTAACACTGATCAACATTCTCCACAACCCTATACTAAATAAATCTATTTTTTATCAGAAGGGGTTTGTGGAGATTTTAGAAATTTTCACAGATTTAAATCATGAGTCAGTTGAAGCTAGACCACCACTGAAAACCTGGAAGCACTGGATGGCCGTTTCGTCCTAGTATGGGACTCCTCAGCAGTGCGCATCCACGATCCCGCACCACGTGGGGCTCGAACCCAGGACCTACTGGCTTCGCGCGCGAGCACTTAACCATTAGACCACTGAGCCGGCATCCAACGATGTTAATGTCTAACTTCAACCAATCCACGAAGTTGTGCCACCATATACCATTGTCTATTTTTTATGAAATAAACGTCAGGAAAGCATGATTCATTTAATAATTAGTATAGAACTAAACATCATTCATTTTTCATAGATTTTATTGAGGAATATCCTATGAAAATCTTTTCAGTTAGTTTTATAAATGACGAGTGACAAATTAGTTAGTAATAAAAAAACATTTATGTTTACTACAGACTAGTATTTTGCCTAATTTAATAGGAATTTCTTGTCTAACCTACTTATTAGTAGTCATGTTCACGACATTGGAAAGAAGTAACCTTTTAAGTACGGTAAAAACTTTAGTCATCTTTCATTCAGTTAATCGATCGATCGATCGATCAATGAATTAATCAATCAATCCAGTTTTACTTCATAAGATACATAAATGAAATGAAAATCATTCTGTTAGCATTTTCAATTTAATTGTAGTATATAAATCATGCGATTTATGTGAAGGCTGTAAGACTTCCCGGGTGCCCAAACCGAAGCAGGTGGTTTACTTAGGGGGCCACACCCAGAACCTTTGATCTAAAGGTCTAATCCACAAGGCAGTGAAGCAACGTCAGGAGATGCAGTCCTATGGTAGCCGGTGGCCAACAGTTGGTTCATACTGCAGGATCCTGGAGCCCATGTGTCAGGGTTTCCCAACTCCACTAGGTGGATCTTTTTATATCCACCAACCCGGTTAAAGCGTCAGACATTCGTTTTCGTCCTCTCAATTCTGTAAGCAACACCCCTGTCACGAGAACACTATGTTTCATCACTAAAAGGGTAAAGTTTTATTCATTTATAATTACCAAACAAAAATGCCCAACAAAATTACTAACTGACCTGTAAGAGTTTTGTGGTTGAAAAAGATCACGTGAATCAAATATAATACTTGAATTATTATAAATATTTGGTAGAACTGAAAATTCCTCTGCATTTGATTTATTCTTTAAATTTAGGTACTCATTTGAATATGTCATTATAGATTTAGTTTGTTGAATATTTCCTAAATGTTTTACACCTAATTGATAATGTAATTCTTTAATTGGACTATTATAAACTGTCCATTTTATGTGTATAGCCATTGTAAAATTTGCCAATCGTTTCACAATCGGTCGTGATACTATATAACAAGAAGGCATACAAAAAATGTAGTGAATATTCATAAGATACATTTTAATTACCTATCCTAAGCATAATCAATTTGTATACGTTTTTTAAATTTATTTCGCTATTTCCTACAAATAATTTACAGGGACTAGCTATTGTATTGTATTCGACTTGTTAAAGATTCACAAAGGTAGATTGGTTTTTACTAACTTGTGTCAATTGTGACATAGGCAAGATATCCATTTACTAAACAAAGAACTAGTTTACTGAACAGTATTTTGCTTCATGAGCGTGAAGTACGTTCATTCATAATTTAAAAAATAACTGTGAATTACTAGTATTCGATCATAGGTATCTTTAAAGCATTGCTTGTATATGTTTGAAGCAATCAGTTATATGTACGAAATCTGTTTGTGTTTGACCATGAATATTGAAAATTAAAGATTCCCATTGTGAAAATTAGAATAACACATATAATCGAACAATTGTTTTCAATTAGATCGTCATCAGGCTTTACTCTAATATACATGAATATTTATACGAAAATTTTTTAAACCAATCAAGGCAATATGGGTCAATCACCACAATGAAATAGAATTAGTCTCTACACATAATAGGTAAAAGTACAAGTTGATAGTAGTAGGAAGACAGGTGAACTGATAATAGTGAGAATAATAAAATACAATAACAAAACTCTTATCAACAGTTAATCGTTGGAAATAGAAGGTCAAACAAACATGGGTAAATAGACTAGGCATAGTCATCACAAAACATTAAAATCCTTACGTAATAATAAGTGTGCAAATAGTTAGATAGTAAAGAATACAAACAGGAAGAGGGGGGAAATTACAAACAAATACTACTAGATGTGAAAATAAGGCTAATGATAACAAAATAAAATAAAAGTCGTTTGTTAAGTTATAACTGGCCATAGGAGGGATAGGTAGGTTACTTAAGTAAGTAAGTAAGTAATATGTACGAATTCTTATGGCTTCGGGTATATGTACGAGGCGGGAACGAACTCCGGCCTGCTTGAGCATCTGGGCTACCTGTTCCTGCCATCTAGATATTTCAACAAGTTATCTATTGTTGTTTGTTTTAATATATCATTATGTTTATTAATCGCATAACCTATTCTGCTGCGTTTCTGAAAAGTGTACAACCTTTCGTTGTCAAAGTTACAGAAAACTCAATAAGAGACAATATGGTTGCTGGCAATGTACAACGAAAAGAATGTACATTATTCAGTTGTTCATTCACTGAAGTGCTAACAACTAACTGGCGATTCCTCAATATTTATCGCCAGGACCGACCAAGAAGAAAGAAACGGAAACTTGTTGAAATACTTTGCGCTGAGAATTCTATATTGTACCAAAAATATAATATTGAATAAAGCTAATAATAATAATAAAAAAAAAATGATGGAGGTATACGATAGATCACTCGATATGATTTTCATTTATCTACAGCATGACCGCTATCAATAAAATGTGTCCCTACATATATCGAATGATTTGTGTGGTGCATGTATATTTGATGCCTTCTTGTACCAATGCTTACATGTTTAAATAAATAAATAAATTTGATAACATTATTTTTCAATTGTTTTCCCAACGGAGTTGGGAACATGTATTTTTACCAATTATGTGTGGTGACTTATTCTATTTCATTGTGATTATTGACCCATATCGCCTTGATTGGTTAAACATTTTCGTATAAATATAAATATTGACTCATACCTGGTTAAATCTAGTTGTTTAAATGCCATTTCCGATTTGTTTCCCTGATTGTTTGTTCAGAATAACGACTGTATAGATTCCGAAATCCATTCTGGTATTTGACTTATTTAATTCCCTTATTCACTATACGATTCAAGTTGATGAAAATATACGAGAGTTGGAGGCATGTATATTTCGATAACAACCATCATACGATCCAATTAGTGTCAGACTTATCAGTATGGGGTTGTGGGGATAATTAAGTTTTGATTGAGATCATGAACCGATTTATGTCAAACCAAAATTGGAAACCTGGAAGCACTAGACGGCTATTTCGTCCTGCTGTGGGACTCCTCAGCAGTAAGTATCCACGGTCCCGTTCGCGGGATTCGAAATCATGGTTTTCGGTCACGCACACAAACACCTAACATCTAAACCACTGAGTCGGTATTCAACAGTATAAATGTCTAACTTCAACTAATCCACGAAATTGCGCAACCAACTCCCATTGTACTCAGTTAGATACCTGTCTCTACCCAACACCGCTTAACTCTACCGATCACGCTGATGTCAGATTTCGTGATGGAAAATCTTATAATCATCACTTGTAGTGATTATACTAGTTTGAATGAATTTTCAAAGTTAATGTTCATTTTTTCCACCCATTATTCAACTGAAATGCAGTTAAATGTTCAATCGAATTCAATGAGAACAACTACTCCGAAACTTTTTATATTACTACAGTGTAATATTATTATTATTATTATTATTATTTTCATCAATGAATATCAACTGAATAAAGCATCTCTTAGTATACTCTTCCCACCATTCAGCATAGTGATATTTGTTTATTAATTGTTCAACTATCAAGTTAACAGAATGTTATGATTTATTTAAGTTGGTTGGATTTCTGATGGTAACCTTTAGGAGATAAGCATCATTAGCACCGTTTTAGTTGATCATTTGAAATAAATTAAATATTAGGTAGATGTTTAATAATAATAATAATAATCTATTTATAGCATCTCAATAAGTAGAAAATTAAAATTTTGTCATTTTTTTTGGCTTACTTCTTCAGAGAATAAATAATCGAAACCAGATATTAATAAATTTATCTTATATACTATTAATACAAGTGATAAATTAAGGTAACCAGATGAATCTAATAAATTGCAAATAATAACACTTCATCGAAAGTAATCGGATATGAATAAGAGGAATAGAGATGAAAAAGTTGTTATAAAGCTTTATTAGAGCTTTATTCTCGTCATATTTATATGATCATAGAATGTTTTATACTTTTAATGAAGTTTTGTTCTTTGAGCTGGTTAGTTTGATCGACCATCTACCTGAACTATAAATCTTCTCTACTATATCGAATGTTTGATACTTTAATAACAAAAAAGATCTACATTTGTGAATGTAATAAATTAAGTTATTTGAACAACGAAAAAGGTATAAATTATCATAAATTCTCTATACTGGGATAAAACGGTCATCTAATGCTTCCAGGTTTTCCATGATAGTCTAACTTCAATTGACTTATGAATCCAACTAAATCTAAATCTCAATATATAGTCCCCGCAGTATCGAGTCACCTAGACTGGTGGCCACATTGCAACCTGATCGATAGCATTCGATCTGCACTAATAAGGACTAGACAAGCATGACATTGATCACCACCCAATGATCAATCAATTGTGAATTCAACTATTAAAATTTTTTATTTGTTCAATTTACTTCGAAATTAGATTGTCATTTAGACGTATTAAATATCAAGTAGCCAGTTATCTTTAGGTACATTTTTGTATATAAATATACAGTTTCGTATTATTTATTATTTTAGGCAACACATATAATGGGACTGTATATATGTTTAGATGTAAATAAAATTACTAATAGTGAATACTACAAGGTGGATTAACTGTCATGCAATCATGATATTCATTGTTCAGTCAGTTTAGTAAATTTAAAAATGCACTCCTATAAGTTATGATTTAAGTGATATACATTGAGGAAATCACCAAACTTTATCACGAGACAAGCGTTAACTTGGAATCCTGAAAGAGAAAGGCCAAAGAACACAGTGCACCGAAAATTGGAAGCAAATATGAAAAAAAAATCGAGTAGCAACTAGAAACAACTGGAAATGATTGTTCAAGATAGAGTTGGATGAAAAATGCTGGTTAGCAACCTATGCTGCTCTATGAGCAATAACAGGCATAAGTAAGTAAATAAGAATTGGACTTCCGTTCACCTACTTATGTTTGACCAGTTAAGTGATCACATTGAATCCCTTCTTTTAAAAAAAAAACCGCTATGTCTAAAAGGTGTATACATGAACTGTACTAAACAAAAGTATTTCAATGTACTTCATTGAATGCAAGTTTTAAACATCTTAGTTACTAAATAACAAAAATTTTTATAGATTACCTTTGATTTGTGGTTTTTCATTATAATGAATAGTTTGTTTTAAAACTAATTCATTTTCATTTCTTTTAATAGGTAATTCATATTTACTATGAATTTCTGATGGAATAGATGATAATGATTTAGCCATAAATGATTCATGTTTCATAAGATTTTTATGTGTATCTTCATCATTATTTGATTCTGAAAAATGATAACAGTATGACAATGATTGCGTGCAATATATATACATATCAAATAAGAATATTATCTATTCGGACAAAAGAAAAAGTAAATTTATGATAAATAAAATGTCCATTAAATAAGAATTTTCTAAGTATTATTATTATTATTGGAAGGGGGTTTTATGGAGATAATAGTCATTTAATAGTTGAGTTCATAAATCAATTAAAGTTAGACCAACATGGTGGTCTAGAGAGAAGTCGTGACAAGTAGAATTCAACTGGGTCTGTTGTGAGATAGTAACTCGTTGATGATAGTAATAGACGTTGGCTCAATTTTGTGGGTTGGTTGGAACTAGACATTAACACCGTTAAATGCTGGCTTAGTGGTCTGGAGGTTAAGCATTCGCGCGCGAGACTGATAGTTCCTGAGTTCGAATCCTACGGGACGGGATCGTCAGTGAACACTGCTGAAGAGTCTCATACTAGGATGAAACGACCATCCAGTGCTTCCAGATTTGTCGTGGTGGTGTAGCTTCAATTGACTAATGAATTCAACTATTGAATGTTATAGATTGAATAAGATTGAAAAAAGGTCTGTTATTACCTATAAATAAGCTATGATGAACAGTCTGATAATAAAGCGACTTCATTATATTTAGTCGATATGTATTTGTGAATTATAAATTTAATGAATAAATGAAAACAATTCAATTTGTGATTATAATTTAGATTTTTGACTTATTTTGGTGATGAAATACTCAGTCCATCACTAGACCTTAGTTTACTATTGATTATTATAGAGCCACTGAAATATCACTGAGCCGTAGCCCAATCATCCAGTAGTTGGTTCACTGAATATCGAACAGATAATCGATCCCTGTCAAGATCAAGGACATCCAACACGCATCAGTTAATCGTACACTATTGACTGGTATATCCGGTGGTGGTCTTACTACCTTCTATGTACTCATTCTTACTAATATATTTTCGTAATAACTTCCTTTGTGTTATACGGTCTTCAAAACAACTTTGATACATCGAAGGAGTAATCCATGTTAGATGCTGACCTCGAAGTGTGAGTTTGAAGCTAGCTGCTAGTCACACAATTCCCGTCTAACTCGAGTAAGCCCCCAGTCATTCAACATAGATCATCTACGTTAGTGATATACACAACTGTTCAATCTTAACTTAACTTATCAATTCGATGTTCAATGTTGAAGAATTCACTTACCAATTATTAGTTGAAATCGTTGTTCACCTAAAAGTTTTCCTGTTGTTGTATTGTAAACTCTAAAAGAAAGTAGAAAAATTACTCGCTTACAATAAGTGACAATTCATTTATATAGATTACATTACATTTGAAAATGAATGTCTTGAATACAAGTTTAAGTTTATTTTTTTAAACGGAATCAGTGAGAGATAAGTGAAATTCATGTGTACAATGATGAAACTTTAAAAGTGAAATTTGTAACTTATCATTGGGGTTTCCCCGCGTGGGTCTGAATCCCATCACTGTCACTAGTTGTTATATGTAGAGCTTTAGATTCTTAATATGCCGCATATAAATTGAGCATTTGAACGCTAAAACCCTCCCAAGTCGTAGATGAAAACACAGAAGATAAGTGAAAGGAACTGTTTTCCAAATAGTGTCAACTATGGTACAAAACTGTCAGGTATTTATAATTTTTAGTGAAAAAAACAACAAAATTATCATTATAGTCCTCCAATTCGCATACAGGGGGTTATTAACATTTGTATACTTCGTCAGGTTATTGATGTCAAGGACAGTAATTAATCAACCTTTTCAAATGTACATACTGTAAAAACTGTCTCGAAATTATCAGGTCATAGGTGAAATACAAAAAAGTGTATTCCATTCTCTTGCCAACTGAGTGTAACTAAATCCTAGTGTTTATGTTCACATCGGGAATCAAACCATATATTTATGATCCTATTGTAAACTATGATAAGAAACAAATACTTGCAAATTCAATTCATACTTGTTGCACAAGTCAGTATCTATTTTGACTCAGTAGATCAATGAACAGCGCTTTAAGCGTTTAAAGTGAGTAGTAGTGGTAATATCATCTTTCCTTTGTGACACTAATATATCTTTACAATAATTTCTATAAATTCACTACATTTTATTGAATTATTAGCACTAAAGCGAGTTTACATAATGTTACCATTTAGATGCGACTCAAATAATCTCATGTTGAAACGGAGAATTAAATTAGCCATCAACAGGACATTTCATTAGCATTTGTAGTGTTGTACAAAAACCTTCAAGGGAACATACTAAGGTTTATTGAGGCCTTGGCTGTACGGAAACTGAAAACCTTTCTATGTATTCAAAAACAATTTGTTCTAAATATCAGACGGGGTTTTGTGCATATTATAGTGATTTTAATAGTATAGATCATGAGCCAATTGAAGCTGGACCACTATGGAAAACCTAGACGTACTGGACAGTCGTTTTGTCCTACTGTGGGATTCCTCATCAATGCGCATCCACGATCCCACCTCGCCAGGACATATCGGTCCTGCTCACGAACACCTAACCTCTAGACTAGTGAGTCGGCATTGAACGGTGTTAATGTCTAACTTCAACCAATCCATGAAATTGCGACACCGTCCACCATTGTCATCAGTGAGTTATTATCTCACAACAGACCCAGTTGAATCCCACTTGTCACAGCTTCTCACTAGAACTCCAAGGAATACCTCTTGATTAAGCGCTCGCGCGCGAGACTGATAGGTCTCGGGTTCGAATCCCACGAGGTGAATTCGTGGATGCACACCTCCGAAGAGTCCCAAAATAGGACGAAACGGCCGTCCAGTACTTCCAGGTTTTCCATAGGGATGTAGCTTTAATTGACTCATGAATTCAACTATTAAATTAATGATAAAACTGTTCTGAATAGGATGACTGAATAGTGCTTTATTATTAAATGTTTCAGTTTAGAAGTTTAACAGTGTTTTATGCCTTAATATGTTAGTATGTTAACTCTGTTTTATTTGATTGCTATACATTCATGCATTATTACTATGATTTTCAGTGATTACAAACTTAGTTTATTTGAAAATCTGTCAACCGGTAATTTTTCTGTTTAAGCTGGATTCACTTACTCCAAAGTATTAGACCATTTCATTATTTGTATGTGTACATATTATGTATGTATATATGGATGACTCAATTAGTAAGTGTATTCCATATATAGATGGAATGTCAACTGTTGACATTACTACAATCTCCACAAAACCCCTTCTAATATAAACATGAATTTGTATTTGTATGTTTATTATTTCTGATATAGAATATCATATTTCATCAATAATCATATACTACTCAGTCATTTGGGAACAAAGAAGGTGTTATAATGAAGTTGCTATATTATACCAGATGTATAGACTTTCAGTTGGATTACATATATCTACAAAGAAATGTTTGTTGTTTAACGTGAAATTACTTCACTTCATGTGATGATTTTAGTTAGACGAACTTCATAGACCGGAAAACAGTGAATAATTGTTTCTTGTCAAACAGTGTGTAGTGTCGGTTATTATTTTAAGCCCATGTACATTATTCTAGGTTTCAGCAGGCCATTTGATTCATTTTACTTGAGTCACATTCTGACCTTGTCAATTATGCGCTTATCAATTCTTGACTGTTTTTATATGAGCGCGTGTGTGTACATTTCTTATCTCATCACATATCTGTAACTTACTTTTGTGTAACTATAATTATTGATTAACGCTTGATTAAATGAGAGTTGGCTTACCAGCCATCTCCACTCTGCGTCGTTTTGCTTCGTTTTATTCCATTTGCTTTACATACAAAAATACGTGTACATTCTCGTTATTCGACTTATTCAATTCCGTTATTGACTAACGTGATTTAATTCGATAATTATATACGATGATAGGCGATGACATAACATTCATACGATCTAATTGGAGTCAGATCTCGACCCACTAAATTGGAGAATCCTTTCGACGACATCGTCCGATCTAAATGAGGACAAAATTATGGGCCCCACTAAAAGTGGACTCGTAAACCCATGATTAGTTGAAATTTAGGATACTCAGAACTCAAAGCCTGTCTAAAGTTTCCATTGATTAGCTGTAACTATCAATAATTCGATATGCTATTAATTATATCTATAATCAATAGACAAACTCACTTAATAAATGGATATCTATTCGTTTTAGCGCCTATATATTAATATGAAATGCATTTCTTTCATGATATAACACATTCAAGTCGATCTCAACCCATAAAATAACGATAAACATATTGAATTATTTGATCACTTACCTACAAATATATTGACCATCATCAGAAATTTTTCTAGGATTAACAATACTAAGTATTTGTGTATATTCATTCACATTACTAATAATATATTTAATTCCACCAGATGCTTTATTAACTGATTCAATATTAAGTGGTTCATTTGATGTGACACTACGATACCATAAAATTGACCATTGATATTGATTATTTAATTGATTAATATTTTGAGAACTTTCAATTAAAAGTAATGATGATAGATTACAATTCAAATGACCAGTTAAACCTTCAGCGGTATGCTCATAAATTGTTTGGATTTGTTCATCAGTTTCTAAAATAAATATGAATGGATAATAATACGTTAAACATTGTATATTGAAACATCTATATGAGATTAGATGGTGGTTGGAGGTAGTCGACAGGAAACCCTGGGTTTCCTATAGATATCGAATCCGCCAGGGAGCACCAGTTCTCTCAAGAATACAGGTACACCTTACTGACGAGTGTCATGTAGCACGAAACCCGGGCCCAGGGTTTCCTGTCGACTATCTCTAACCACCATCTAATCTCAATATATAGTGCCCGCAGTGTCGAGTCACTTAGACTGGCGGCCACATTGCAACATGATCGATAGCATTCGATCTTCACTAAATAAGGACTAGACACGCATGACATTGATCGCCACCCAGTAATCAATCAACTGTGAAACATCTATATGGTACGTAATTGATACGAATCCTTATCATTCATATCAGAAGTGTTTTTGTGGGTATTAAAGTAATTTCAATTGTTGAGATCATGAGTCAATTGAAGATAGACCATCATGGAAAACCTGGAAGCATTGGACGACCGTTTCGTCCCCAGCAGTGCGCATCCACCATCCCGCCTGGTGTGATTCGAACACAGATCTATTAGTCTAGTGCGCGAGCGCTTAATCACTTGTTATGATGGGTTTGATTTACAATTTCACGATATATTTACAGTTTCAGTAAAATAGGATTGATAATATTCCTAGAATACAGTGAATTCATTAAATTTCATTGCAATCTCTTCAACTACTTACTATTTCGTTTTTATAAGTAGTAATAAAAGTCAAATGAGATTACTGATAAATTATTCAACAAAAGATCTGTAATCAGTTAAATCAGCATGTGTTTTTGTTTATAACGTGTTCCTTATTTTCAGACCAAATTGATTTCTTGACAAATAGAAAAGTAGAGAATTTTTAGACTGTGTTTTACCGCCAGAATAGTACTAAATCGATTAAATTAGTATTCATATTACAGTTTTTAATAAATTGTAAGGTAAATACTTTTACTGATCCCTTAAAAATGTTTACTATTGAAAGGATTTTTTAGAAATCTTGCTACCGATACGCTTAAACTGTCTTTGTAGCCGATTCTGATATCCACAACTACTTCTACATGTCAAATGGAACACTAAAGAGAAAGAGTGATATGCAAATAAAAGCTTTACTCTAGGTTTAGTTCATGTACAGAAAAAAAAGTAGGTGTTTACAGTACTACACCTAACCTTGGAAATCTAGATATTTCTGCAACCATACTAATATGGTAGCCCTATACATAAATATCCAGTTAAAACAGTGACACGTTATTCTGTATATTTTAGATGTTTCTGTAACAATTCTATTCAACGTTGATTGAATAAAATGTTTTCAAGCATTTCTGGGCCTCTAAGGACTTGATGAAGAATATTTATAGGACTCATTCAAAAATTTGGTTAGGATTCGTTTATATATAATGTTAGTAAGCATCGTTTATAAATAGGTTTACAGAATAATTTACAACTATTCGTTAGTCGAATAATCATTATCATATCATTTCTAATGGATGAATAGTTAAGTCGAATTACTTAAGTTCACTAGTGTATTTATGAAGAGTAGCCTGCAATTTTCAAACTATAAACTGACTTAGTTAGTTTGATGTTTAAACGTTTATAGAATGCTCACTTGGATAATTAGGGAGCTACGAGAGTTCCTAATGGATCTTATTTCTATACTAAAACGTATCAATGTTTTTTATGTACGATTGATATTTAAGATGAATTAGAATCAGATAGGGGTTTTGTGGAAATGGTAGTTGAATTTATGAGCCAATTAAAGCTAAACCACCATGGTAAACCTGGAAGCACTGGACTGTCGTCTCGTCCTAGTATCGTACTCCTCAGCGGTGCTCATCCACGATCCCGCCTCGCGAGGTCCAAACCCAGAACCTATTAGTCTCGCGCGCAAACGCTTAAGTTTTAAGCCACTGAACTGGCATCTAACGATATTAACGTCCACCATGTTTTTCCATACTGGTCTAGCTTCAATTGATCCAAGCTCATAGCTTCTATTTGGCTTGATCTTGTAAATATGTTATTTCCTATTTTGTGGTGTGATGAGGTCTGTTTGGCTGATATATTAACCAGGTATGTTTGAAATAAATGATTCGAATTGTGGGAGCTATTATTGGCATTCTGAACTGAACTGAATGGGCTAGGCGAACATAGGACCAATAAGGAGGCTTAGCTGCTCAAACCGGTCGGACATCATTGGTTTGGCACAGTACTAAGATTGAATAAGTCGTATTTGGATTGGCAAATAAATCGCCGGGCTTAAAACACGCAACAGTTATTCAATTGAGATGAGATGGCAATCGTTCACAAATCGTTAACAATTTAGGAATATCATTCATTTTTTCATCTTAAATAAATTAATCTTGATTTCGTAATCTATCACAGTTGAAGATATTTTTGGAATAAAAAGTTACGCATTGGCAACAATGAAACTTTAAATGCTACACTTAGCCTATTTTTGCTAATTACTTAACGCAGATTGATTTCATTGACTATGATCTTGTCATTAGTAGATAATGAAGGCATCTTCATTAATTGATAAACTGTAATATGGGGAAAGGATACAATATGTGAACATTGAAACTGTATATATATATATATATATATATATATATATATATATATATATATATATATATATATATATATAGAGAGAGAGAGAGAGAGAGAGAGAGAGAGTGGGAGAAAGATATAAAACAATTGTTATAATATTGTGTTTCGTACAATATATGCTACTTAACATGATATAACATGTTGAGTAGTATACGTATATACATATAAAAGTGTATAAGTAGTATAAATATATCCGCAAAAGAAAAACGAATGAACATTAAAATTGGCTAATCATTACCGTTATGAACAAACTTTTCATCGTTTAGTTGAATATAGAATTTACAGTTGACGGATTCTCTATCATATTCATTTTCATTAGAATTAGCATCAATACTATTGGTATACTGAGTACTTTTCATATACTGATAGATACCAGTATCTGATTTTGCAATCTTTAATATTTTCAATAATCCATCTAATCATAAAAAGAATTATAATAATAAGAATATAAATAACCCGCTAAAAATTGTAAAGATTATCAATAAATTGAGAAGAATAGGTCTGTTGTTATGACAATATGCAGACTAATCTATTGCTTACTTAGTTACGCCTGTTACTCCTTGTGGAGAAGCATAGGCCGCTAAACAGTTCTCTCCATTAAACCCTATACTGGGAAATCCTTTACAATTCTTTCCACTTCTTATTCATCTTTTTCATATCTGCTTCTTTTGACCGATGTAATGTGTTCCTTGGCATTCCGATTTTTCGCTACCCTTCATGATTCCAAGTTAGCACTTGCCTCGTGATGCAGTTTGATAATTTGTGTAATGTATGTCCTATCCATTTCCATCGTCGTTTTCTAATTTCCTATTCATCTGGAAGCTGGTTTGTCCTCTCCCACATTAGGCTGTTACTGATGATATCCGGCTAACGGATAGTGAGTATCATGCGTAGACAACTATTTATAAATAATTGTACATTCTTGATGGTGGTTTTAGTAGTTCTGCACATTTCAGCTCCGTACACTAGAACTGACTATCTTGACGTTTGTATTGAGGATTCTGACTTTGATACTGGTTCACAATTGTTTTGAGTTGCATATGTTCTTCAATTGTAGGAATACGGTCATTGCTTTGCAGATCCTCGCCTTTACGTCTGCATCTGAACTTCTTTGTCCATCGATGATACTTCCCGGGTATGTGAAGGATTCTACATCTTTTCAATAATCGATAAGCACCTTTTAATTAGATGAATTCACAAACAGAAATTTTTTAACATCATAGAGGGTCTGTAGAGATCCCTGATATTTATTGATTGAACGATGGGTTGATTTTGCTAGGCAACTACTGTAAATTAAGAATCGATTAGTAGCTGTTTCGTCTTAGTATGAAACTCCTTAGTATTAACCATTAATGGTCCAATCAGAAGTCGAAATTAGAACCTTCTAAATTCAAAGCGAGATCCTAAGCTTTAGACCACTAATCTGGCATTAATCGGTATCGGGTTTTTACCTTTAGTCAATTCACATTATAGTGCACCTTTCTCTTAATGTCACTGTAAAGTAAGTGCCTTACACCTTACATGGCTATACTCAATTTGTCAGACCTTTTTTATTAGAGGTTCAGGAACCACTTTTTGAAGTAAGTCATCAATGAGCACATGATTATGGTCACTTTACGGCATTATTTATTTTATTTAAACACATAAACATGCGGATATATTTATTTCTTAAACATTAACTGGATATATATATATAGTTGACTAAAGATTAATTGAAATTTGTTCTTTTTGATAGAGTTTTGTTCTCTGAGCTGGATGATTTGGTCATGGAGCCTTCATCGTTCTTCTGAAGGACATCATCAGCATAACTATCAGGTAGAAGTGAAGTGTTCGAATTTCTCCATATGTGGTTAACAGCTTTTCTTGTAGACCTCGATGTTGATCGATTGTTGTTGACCTTAAACCCGTCATTGTTTACTTCTTCGTTTTGACTGTATCTTCAATTTGTTTCTTCCTATGTTTGTTCATAATTTTCCAATATTCACCTCAGAGAACAAAACTCCATCAAAATCATCCACTTGAGCTAGAAATCTTCTCCATCATCTCAGTTTTTTCGTTCGTCTACATCACTGGAAAAGTTAATAAACTATATCACTTTAGATTAATAAAGCAAATAAAACTATATTTCACTTCTTAAAATGGCCTAAACATTAATCTATGACAAGACATCTATTGCTAATTCTTCGGAAGGAAAGTATATATCACTTTCATTGACTAATATCTGTTAAATTTTATTATGAATATAACTTACAATGTTATGTAATAGTTTATCATCAAGTCGTAAATAATCTCATATCTCATTTACAATAATAATTGAATTCTAATTGGATTAGATAATTGATTTGTAACTGAATAAACTTCAGTGTTAGTTGATTCTCCTATGACCTTAATCCATAAACCATTTGTATAACAACTAAATTTCTTATTTTAGTTAATCGTCAACAGAAATGAATATCAATGGTTAAGATCATGAGCCAGTTGAAGCTAGACCACCATGGAAAACCTCGAAGCACTGGACGGCCGTTTCGTCCCATTGTAGGACTCCTCAACAGTGCACATCCACGACCTCGCCACCTGCGAGATTCAAACCCAGAGCCTGCTGGTTTCGCGCGCAAACACTCAACTACTAGACCATTGAGCCGGCATCCAACGGTGTTAATGTCCAACTTCAACGGCCAAGTTCGGATGAGGTCGTGGATGAGCACTGCTGAGGAGTCCCACGGCCGTCGAGTGCTTCCAGGTTTTCCATGGTGGTCTAGCTTCAACTGACTCATGATCTTAACCATTGAAATTATTATAATATCCACAAAACCCATCTGATAGAAATGAATATGTGAGAAATATCATTCACCTTATTGAAATTGAAGCTGTTATATGATTATAGTTAATTCAAGAATATATATCAGGATTATATATAACGAGAATCTTTAGTCATTATGCTTGAAAATTCATCAAACAATAACTTACCTTCAAAATGATAATTATTATTTTTATTCTCATTCATTGTAATAAATTGACCATTATGAATCCATTGATTAATATATGGTGAATAGTTGAATTTCTTGTTGTTATATCGTTTTTCCATATGATCGTTTGAATTATTAACACGTTTATTAAAATCCCATTTATTCCATTCATCAAGTGTTGGTAACATTGGAAATGGTATTTTATGCTTATTCATTACATTATTGTTTTGTAATGTATTATTATTATTATTACAATTTAAAGTAACTTGTTTTCCACTTTCAGTAATAATCACTTTTGGATTTAATGAACTGGTGGTTATCGGTGATCCTTAAAATAAAGCAATAATAATAGTAATTATAGTAATAATACATTGAAATAATTCTAATGGAGTTTTGTTCTTTGACAGTTCTATTGTACGGAGCTGAAACTTGGAGAACTACTACAACCACCATCAAGAATGTACAACTATTTATAAATAGTTGTCTACGCATGATACTCACTATCCGTTAGCCGGATATCATCAGTAACAGCCTAATGTGGGAGAAAACAAACCAACTTCCAGATGAATAGGAAATTAGAAAACGACGATGGAAATGGATAGGACATACATTACACAAATTATCAAACTGCATCACGAGGCAAGTGCTAACTTGGAATCTTGAAGGGAAGTCGAAAATAGGAATGTCAAAAAACACATTACGTCGGGAAATAGAAGCAGATATGAAAAGGATGAATAACAAGTGAAAATAACTGTAAAGGATTTCCCAGGACAGGGTTGAGTGGAGAGTATCGGTGAGCGGCCCATACTCCTTCACGAGGAGTAACAGGCGTAAGTAAGTAAGTTTGTTCCCTGAGGTAGAAGTTTGTGCTGATTATGTCGTTCAGAAAAACGATGAAAGCTCTACGACCAAGTGATCGAGCTCACAGAACAAAACTCCATCAGAACCATCCACCTGAGCTATAAATCTCCAACCTTAAAATAACACTTACGTTTTAATAAAAATGATTAATAAAACAGATGTATTCATTACTGGAGTAATATTATTTTTGAGATTCTTGTTCATTTACGGAGAGAGAAAACATTAAAAATGACCTTTCAGTCAGTGAACAGATACATTTTGAGATCGCTAGTAAATTACATGATAAACTATTGAACAGTGTTACTTATTAAATTCACCTAATCCTGTTTTGCTTGTGTCTTCCCATTGTTGTTTACGACTGTAATTGATCAGTATCCTAGTGGCATATGTGCATACTGTGCATATTATCTTAATTCCTAAGCATTCTAAGTAAAGATGAATAATGGCTAACAATCGAATTCAAGACGCGTGTTTCGTACAGCACTGCGTTCGAGTCTTGTAGTAGACATCAATTCTGAAATGCAAGTACATCCAGCTGACGAGTCTCAAATAGGACGAAACGCGCCTTACTGATTCCACTGTTAGCCACTATTCATCTTTGTTTATAATTTTAGCTTTTAACTGAATAACACCTTTGAATCTTTGGTGAAAATGTTCAACCAGTTAAACATTTGTTAAAAACCCAAAATATTTATTGTAACTAATGTATGGGAACCAAAACTGTGATGACATTTTAAAATGTTGTAGTATAAATGAACAAACATAATTTGGAAATACATCATTTAATTTATGTGAAACTAATTTATATAAACGGCCTATGCTTCTTCACGAGGAGTAACAGGCGTAAGTAAGTAAGTAAGTAATTTATATAAAATTTAGTAACACTAATAGATCTATTCAAAACAATTAGCACTATGTCAATATTTAGGATGATTTAAGACTGAAGCAAGTTATATAATACCATATATATTAAATGTAAGTTAGTAAACATTGAATACTAACAAACACACTTAATAGTAGTATTTTATCATGTCCTTGAAGAAGAATGAAAATAAAGCTGTTCAAAATTTTCTTGGATTTCAATGGTTGTCTAGTTAGAGTAAATCTCTTGTGTCAAATTTGTTATTACTTAGAGATTTGATTGGAAACAGAAATATCTAACTTCAAGACGGAGACTTCTTTTGAATTATAAGATAGAAACTTAAGATTATTTGTAAAATAGGATTTTTGTTGATATTTTTGAATACAGAAATAATGGTTTTCACGATATATAAATGAATTAGGTTGTAAACTAAAGAGAAATGTTTGATTGAGAACAAGGATTGATATAAATAAACTCTGGATAAAAGTGATATGTGTATTATAAGCAAAGATGGATAGTGGTTAGCAATGGAATCTAGGACGCTCAATTCGTTCTATTTGGTACTTATCAGCTGGATGTACCTGCATCCTGGTGTTGATGTTTACTCCAGGACTCGAACCCAATAGCGTTTGCTTCAAATACCATCTCATTATCCACCTAGCTACTGAGTCCTCACGGGATGCATATATGCCATTAAGGGAGTTATCAATTGCACTCCTAAGCATTAATTGGGAGGATTCAAACTAATAATACAATATATGTATGTATAATTCATGAAGGCATCTAATACCGAACAAAAAATTACATAACGCATGAAATGATATTTAAAAACACAGAAAAATGTGTATTGCATAAGCATAAAATAAACAGATAACTACACTTGAATCGTATCAGAAAATGCTGACATGTGTACATTAACCAAATTTTGTAATCTGACGTTTAAGGAAATTACAACCTATGTGATCTTAAAGTCATACTAGATTAGAAAAGAAGCGGGATTTGTCATTTTGGAATAGAAGACTTCAGTCAATTCCAATCCACATAGTAACTGCTTCTACTATTTAAAATACCGTAGGTCGCGTCGCTTTTTACAAGCTGATTTTATGGCTAGTTTGGACTTACTTACTTAATCACTTGCGCCTGTTACTCCCAATCGAGAATAGGCCATCGGACAGCACTCTCCAACCTACTCTGCCCTTGGACTTCCTTTCTATCCGATTCTTGATCATTTTTCACATGTCTATCTCCACTTCCCTAAGTAATGTGTTCTTTGGTTTTCCTTTCCTTCTCGTTTGACCTTGAGGATTCCATGTGAGGGCTTGCCTTGTGACGCAGTCGAGTGTTTTCTTCAATTTGTGTCCTATCCACTTCCAGCTCTTCCTGACTTCTTCCTCCACTGTGATCTGCTTTGTTCTCTCCCATAGTAGGTTGTTGCTGGTAGTGTCAGGCCAACAGATTCGAAGTATGTTGCGTAGACAGCAGTTAATAAACACTTGTATCTTCTGGATGATAGCTTTCGTAGTTCTCTACGTTTCCACCCCATACAGTAGAACTGTTTTGACATTTGTATTGAAAATTTTGACCTTTGATGTTGGTTGAAAGATATTCTTTGATTGTAGATATGCTGCTCTTGCTTTACCGTTCTGAGCCTTTACATCTGCATCAGATACATCGTGCTAATCAATGATGCTCCCCAAATATGTAAAGGTTTTTGGATCCTCCAAAGCTTCTCTATCAAGTGTGTCTTGATTGGTTCATGTTGTGTTGTATCGGAGAATCTTGCTTTTCCATTTGTGCATCTTGAGACTTACTACTGCTGAGGTTGTTGTTGCGCTAGTCTTCTTCTCCTGCATTTATTATTGCGTGTGAGATAGAAGAGCCAACTCATCTGTGAAGTCTAGATCATCTAGTTCAAACTAGTTAAGCTAAATTAAAACCATTCAGATTTCAATTGCACACTATTATTTTAAATGATGGGAAATGATTTTAAATAGATCTTGATATTCATTATATGTTTGTTTGTGTGTGTGTAAGTATTGTAGTGAACAAAACACCAGTGGGAACAATAGAATGTATTTGACACGAAATTACAGAGCATCTCAATAAAATCTGAGATCCATATAGTAAAAACCGTTAATTTGCAAAGTGTCAATCCATCATATCAAACTTGACTGTTCCTGTTGCAAACATCAATCTGTAGTGTCAGTTATTATGCCAAGCCCATATACCTTATTCGAGCTTTCGGACATCCCATTCTATTCATTTTACTTGAGCCATACATTGACCTTGTTATTTATTCGCTTATCAATCTAGACTGTTTTTATATGAGCGTATATGTGTGTGCCCTTCTTATTCCATTAATCACATGTCTGTAGCTTTATTTTGTCTGACTATAAATATTGAGTAACGCTTGACAAAGAGGAAGTTGGCTTCCCAGCCATCTTCCATACGTGTCATTTTGCTCTACTCTTTTATTCGCTTCATATTCGAAATATATGTATTCTCAAGTCAATTCTCGTTATTCGACTTATTTAATTCCGTTATTGGATAACGCGATTCAAGTCGACGATGATATACGAGAATAAGCGATAGCAAACATACATACGCTCTAAACAGGAGTCAGATACATGGGCCACAAAAGTGGTGAGCCCTTCAACGAATATCGCCGATCTAAAAGAGGACAAAATCAAACTACGGGCCTCCACAAATCTATTGTCTCAGATTTCATTGTTCATGCATTTTCACACCAATTTCGTTCCGTTCCCGTTCTTTCCTCATCGACCTTCTACTGAAATACATTTTATGGCTGACCACCGTTATGTACTACTTGTGTGGATATAAGTAACCCACACTACAGTATGTGCCAAATAAAACTAGATTCAAAAGATTTATTTATAAATAATCTAATTTTTTTAAATGTATTATTTAATTATATTTTTGTTATCACTAAGCAATTCAGTCACTTTAAATAATATAATGTTCATTAAATGTGGGAATTACAATTTTCGAAACATTTCCTCTATTTATATTGTTGGTGGTCTAAATGAATCAAAACATTATACATAGTGTCATATGTTATCCTATAAGTTATGATTTGAAATCAGTAATAGAAATGAAATTTATGAACAACTGTCTTTAGTGACCATGTATTCTGTAGTGTAATCATGACAAATGATTATCTTTACTATTCATTAGAACTTTCAGTTCAATTAACTTTATTCAATTAAAATAGTTACAAATTGAATAATTGGATTACATTTTAACTTTAGTTACCATGAATGATAATTATCACTAATTAAGGTCATAAGTCGATTGATTTTAGACTACCATTAGTAACCTGGAAGCACTAGACGGCTACGTTTGTCCCGTTGTGGGACTTCTCAGCAGTAAGCATCCACGGTCCCGCTCGCGGGATTCGAAATCATGGTCATCCATCTCGCACGCAAACCCTTAACATCTAAAACACTGAGCCGGCATTCAGCGGTATAAATTTCTAACTCCAACTTATTCACGAAATCACCCAACCATCTCCGATTGTGCTCAGTTAGAAACCTGTATATACCCAATACGGATTAGCTCCACCAATCACGCTGATGTCAGATTTCGTGATGGAAAATCTTATAATCATCACTTGTAGTGATTATACTAGTTTGAATGAATTTTCAAACTTGGTGTTCATTTTTCCCATCCATTATTCAACTGAAATGCATTTAAATGTTCAATAGAATTCAATGAGTACAACTACTCCGAAACTTTTTATATTACTACAGTGTAATATTATTATTATTATTATTTTCACCAATGAATATCAACTGAACAAAGCATCTCTTAGTATACTCTTCTCATCATTCAGTGTAGTGATATTTGTTTATTAATTGTTCAACTATCAAGTTAACAGAATGTTATGATTTATTTAAGTTGGTTGGATTTCTGATGGTAACCTTTAGGAGATAAGCATCATTAGCACCGTTTTAGTTGATCATTTGAAATGAAGTAAATATTGGGTAGGTGTTTAATAATAATAACAATAATATTATTATTAATAATCTATTTATAGCATCTCAATAGGTATAAAATTAAACTTTTGTTACTTTTCGTGATGCAGTTTCATGATTCCCATGATGTATATCCCATCCGTTTACATCGTCTTTGTGTGACTTCCTCTACAAATCGAAACTGGTTAGTTCTCTCCCACAGTACGCTGTTGTTGATAGTATTAGTCCAACGGACACTAAGTACCTTAAACAGACATTTGTTTATAAATAATTGTACGATTTTAACGATGGTTGTTGTAGTTCTCTAAGTTTCGGCTCCGTACAGTAGAACTGTTTTGGCGTTCGTATTGAAGATTTATACTTTATATACATATAACTTATAACAAGAGGGGAACTAAAACGTTGCTAAAGTTATGCGATAACAGCATTTCCTACGGAAACATTTGTCAGTTTTATAATATCTACGCAAAGTTTTCAAAGAAAGAATTGACCGATACAATCATTCGTTGTTTAATAATTATCGGATATATTATGACACCAAAATGTGTTTTTCGGGATATGATGATCATATGATTATTATTCATTACTACATACAGATATTCGGTGAAATTGTGGTGGGTGCTACTTATATTGATGTAAGTAGTATATGACACGAGTTACAAAACGTAATGTCTGGCAGCAGAATATGGGAGAAGATCAAGAAAAAAAGAGCGAGAACACAATGCAATTTGTAAGAAAACGCATGAACAATGAAATTTCAGACAATGGACTGATGTTTACAACAGGAACAGTCCAACTTGATATGATGCATTAATATTTTGCAAATTAACAATTTACTATACGGTTTTTCTATTTTACCAAGTAACGCTGTAATTTTGTGTTAGAGTGTAGATCGGTCGGCGCCACTTTTGTGCTCCTTCACTACAAAATCATCTGAACGTTTTCCGTATTCAAATGTCAATCAATTTACTGGGATATTAAATTTTATCACAGTATCAGTTATCAAATCATATAAACTTAAAGTAAGTAAATAGTAGAGTTTACGTGGAAAGATTGAATATTGACTTACTTTTTACTATAATACGAAAAGATTTTCCAATAAGCTTCGAATGAGAATTATCCACTGAACAAGTGTAAATACCTTGATTTTCCAGTCTAGCGTATTTAATGATTAATACACCTAAAATAAGATTTAAAAAAAACGGAAATGGTTTGTATAATTTTCTGAAAATGCAACGGACAGTAATTATATTGTACTCAATCAGGTGTTATATCCTATTTAGAACGCTGCAAAAGTTATACACAACTGAAGTTATATAAATTTGCATCAGCAAAGTAAGAAAGGGAAGTAAAGAACTACAAAGTTTACTAGTTACATTGGTAGTTAAAAATTAACTATGGTGAATAGAGTATGACAAAATAGAGAAATCAATGTACAAATTGCATACAATACAAGGCTGAAAGTGCTGAAAAAGGATAAAAAAAACTTGAATGAGATAGTTGTTAGGCTATTTCATTTAATATTATCAAACATAGGTAAAGAAAAATAAACGAGCTGATACATCCGAAACTTAAAATTCTCATCTCTCCATATGGCTCAGTATAAAAATCATTCACTTCGTAAACTGATGCTGAATCTCGACTGCACTGAAGTGAATCTTAATTCAGACAACCCACGTATTTATCCATCTACCACAAGTTGAGGAACGGGTAGTTATTTTTACATTTCTCACCTGCTTCAGCAGTAAAATGTGATGACCATATCAACAAATTTATTGGGCTATGCAATACCTTACGTTTTTGCATATTGTAAATCAAAAATTCCTATCAATTATGATTCATATGAAATTAAATGATAAATAAGTTGATTTCAGTAGATTCACGGTGTTCCACGGCTATCATCCATTTGCATTTTCTTGTCGATTGTCTACTGCAAACTATTAATTTTAAGTGTTTGCTTTATACCGATCACATTTTCTTAGTCACATATGAACGCGTATATGCACTGAACTTTGGTTATGAGGACTTAATCAGACTTTAGGAGGATCAGAAGAATAAAACTTTCAATTGATCATGGTTGTTTATCTGACAATTATGAGAGTATAAAAAAACTTTTTCAAGTTATAATTATTCTGACTTAAACGTTCAACAGGTGTTTACGAGTAGATTTCTTCATGAACAGACATTAACTACATTCCGTTGACCAAGATATACCTTTTTCATTAAAAAACCTGATGGCTCTGGATCAAGTAGTCACCGGTATACACTACTGATGAGTTCATAATTATCCAATTTACCCATTTCAACTTTTGTTGTTTTCTAGTTTCTCACCTAACCCAAACGAGACTTCACAAGTATCTTACTTCCAGAATCATTCCTTAGGTTCTTATTTGTAGTAGTGACTGGTGGAGTTTAAATATATCGGTAGTGAGACAACTATCATAAATAGGTTTAAATTATAGTCTTTTAATATTAATAATTGTACGAAGCAAAACATTTGGATAGCTTGATTCTAAATCAGTAATATGCAGATTTCAGCTTCCCTACCTTCCATCTCTCAAACCGGTGTTGTGATCGATCCATAAGAGTGCTGTAGATTTACACCACTGAAGAATATCATGGTAAGAGTAAACACATATTTTATGCTCTTTGATTCTGAATAGTATTACAACCAATTTCAACCTATAAATGATATGATCTATTGACACCTTATTCATAATACAAAAAAACTGCCTATACAAGTCAATAATCTAACTACTTATCAGTATATTGCTCGTAATCTAATACCCTATTTTTTGTTTGGAAATAATTTTGAAGTTAGACATTAATAACGTTGGATGCCGGCCCAGTGGTCTAGTTGGTTAAGCGCCTGACGCGAGACTAGTAGGTCCTGAGTTCGAATCCGACGTGGCGGGGTCGTGGATGCGCACTGCTGAGGAGTCCCACGACAGGACGAAACGGCTGTCCAGTTCTTCGAGGTTTTCCATGGTGATGTAGCTTCAATTGACTCATGATCTCAACTGCTGAAAATAATTTTCTCTTTTTTTTTCATTAATGACGTCAATAACACTATGATGGAATGTAACTAAATTATGGTAGATACACTATTCTAAATCTACTTTATTTTTTTTGGTATGAATATTTCAATCATGTCAATGTCTATTTACAATGACGTAACTCTTGCATACATACTGTAATGTTTATTTTCATTCATCTAAATAACTTGATATAATTTATTGGCTGTTGTTATGTATATTTTACTGGATATTTAAGTGAACAATTTATGAATACTATCTTATCAAGAATATCGTCGAGTTCATTGACAAGTGTACATAGAGAAATGAGGCGATTTTTTTAAAAATGAGAATCTAGCATCTTTCATATACATAGTTCTCTTTTATCATTTTTTAAAGAGAAAGAACAAATATTCTAGTACAGTAATATGAATTCATTTTATTTCGTTTGGTTCTTATCAGTTGATTACAACCTGTGTGATATGCTTGAATGCTATTACGAGTTCACCTTTCTTGGTAAACGGAACAAAGGTCATAGATACAGTGACATGATAGGCTATTCTAATCAGTTGTCCCCAGACCTGTTAGCTAGATCAAGAAGTCTTGATGAGGCTTAGAAAATGTGTTCTACAAGCACCTATGAAATACGAGATCACTAAGCACACAAATCAAGTTTATTTATACAATGATAGAAAGCCGTTGGGAAAGCCACAATATAGCATACGGAAAAAGATCCGTCAACCAATGACAGTCAAGGATTTCTGAGTGGAAAATGTAAGCTATAGGTCAACTAGGCGTTTCTTGGCTCGAAAACATAAAATTACAAAATCAGAACCTTTTCCAAGTGAGTTCTGAGGAACTAACGTCCTCAACACTGTGATATTTAAAATCATAATTACATAATGGGTTTAAATTATTTCCATGAAAGTGTTTAGTTGGAAGTTATATTGAAGACATATTCGTATAGTATGACAAGGATGTAAATAAATTGAATAGATTGAATATTGTAAATATACGCCTTATGTGAAAGAACATTCTACAACATTGATTTTGACAACAGTTCAAACGGCCAGAAACAAGTGATTACATAATGATTAAACATTGATAGGAATAAAATGAGCAGATCTTGTTTGATAAAATAAGATTCCTAATTTGGAAGATAGTTGAATTAAAACTCATTAATGTAATACATGCAAGAAAGAGTTTAATGAAAAGAAAAGTTTATTTTCCTAGAATCTGGTATCTAACCGGCTTTCATTTATGTTTCGTTTAAGTTTTAAATGATCTAATGTTTCATTGTCAGTTTGATTATACTTCTAGAACATCATACTCATTTCATTTTATTTTTTAACACTAATTTAGGTCATATTCATCATATATTGATCTCATTTAAGGCATCATTGAAGATTAGAAAACTCGAGGTAGTTATTTCTTCTTAATACATGACTCTATAGCGATGTACATGAACTATTAAATTAGTAATTGAATTCAAGACCTTGAGGTCTCATGAAGAAACTTCAATCATTTTAACTACTGGGTTAGTTTTCAGTGATGAAATTTCATTCAATTTACGATATATCACGGTAGTTATCTATTTGAGTGCTGACAACCGTTTTGTACCATAGAAGTGCTAGAACTTGTAGTGTCGGTTATGTTAAGCCCATATACCTTATTCTAGCTTTCGGACAGCCCATCCTATTCATTTTACTAGAGTCACATTCCGACCTTGTTATTTACTCGCTTATCAATTCTTGACTGTTTTTATATGAGCGCGTAAGTGTGTGTACTTTTGTTATCCCATTACTCATCACATATCTGTAACTTACTTTTGTGTAACTATGATCATTGATTAACGCTTGATTAAATGGGAGTTGGCTTATCAACCATCTCCACTCTGCGTCGTTTTGCTTCGTTCTATTCCATTTGCTTTATATACAAAATATATGTATTCACAAGTCCATTCTCGTTATTCGACTTATTCAATTCCGTTATTGACTAACGCGATTTAGGTCGATAAATATATACGAGGATAGGCGATATATATTTCAACAACAATCATTATTACATTCGCCTTGGAGTCAGATCTCGGACCACTAAAGTGGAGAACCCTTTCGACGACATTGTTCGATCTAAATGAGGACAAAACTAAATAATGGGGGCCTCCACGAACTATACAATTCATAAATATATTTTCTTTCCAGAATGGGTTTTGTGGAGAATTTTAGAAATTTCACAGGTTCAAATCATGAGTCAGTTGAAGCACCGTTGGATGCCGGCTCAGTGGTCTAGTGGTTAAGTGCTCGCGCGCGAAGCCAGTAGGTCCTGGGTTCGAGCCCCGCGTGGTGCGGGATCGTGGATGCGCACTGCTAAGGAGTCCCATACCAGGACGAAACGGCCGTCCAGTGCTTCCAGGTTTTCAATGGTGGTCTAGCTTCAACTGACTCATGATTTCAACCTGTGATATCTTCTTTCCATTGCCGATAACTATTTCATAATAAAAAAGTAATGTTTTGAGATTTTATAATTTCTCTAAGTATCATTCTGAAGTATTAACACTGAGAATTTGAGTTGACTAAACTTTCTATACTCAAGTGTTTGTACTTTTCAGTGGAGTGGACTAAAACGTGAGTAGTAATTTTCGTTCTGCTACTTTTAGATATCTTACAATTCAGTTTTTAATCCCACTTACTTTTGTAACTTAAAACCATTGTTAATGTGACATACAATCCAGTTCAGTAATCTCATAATATAATCATTATAACACTGGTTTGGTTACATTGGATTAATTGAGATGTAAATATTTAAAATAATAGTGAACATGGAGTATAAAGTTCATTATAAGATAATTGATAAAATGTGTTCATCATTGGGAATCGTTTAGCTACTGACATGTATTATAAAAGTAAGGAAAGAAGATAAAACTTCTCATGTGAGCTTATATGGATATAGAAAAAAATAATTATATGAGTAAACATTACAGTAATTACAATGGTTTGTAATGTGATTAATGGAAATACATGTAAATCACCTATGGTTAATAAATCACGAGGTACATGATAATACTGTGGTGTAGAAGGTCACAATAAAAATGATTACCGCGACAAATCTAGTAAATCGTGGCTGAATAGTGAATTCTTCACCTGTAGCACTAAGTGACTTAAAAATTATTGAGACTAACAGTTTCCATGTTATATCAAATATCCAAGCGTATTTGGTTCCAACTAACTAGAGATTAAGACATAGTCAATTATAGTGAGCTCCTCGAATAAATTAAATTTAATTATGGATAATACATTCTGGAGCCCATGTGCACTATTGGTTTGGAATCAGAGATTTCCAACTTATTCAAGTGAATACTCTATATCCACCAACCCGGTCGAGGCGTCGGATATTGGCTTTCCATCCTCTCAATTTTGCTAACAACACCTCTGCCACAAGATGGCAGTGAGCAGGACTTCCTTGGCAGTTGTTGTATGCACGTGGCCATGTGATAGTATTTCAAGATGGAGAGTCAATTTTCCACACTCTCGGCCGTACCAGGGTATTTGGTGGCTGGTTTATGTAATAAATTACAACCAGTGGAATCCATTGTTCTTAAAATGATCCCATCATATGGAACTCAAAACAACTATCAACCAATATTAAAGTCACAATCTTCAATACCAACGTCAAGGCAGTTCTACTGTATGGAGCTGAAACTTGGAGAACTACTACAACCATCATCAAGAATGTACAAGTATTTATAAATAGTTATCTACGCAAGAAACTCAATATCCATTGGCCAGATATCATCAGTAACAGCCTTCTCTGGGAGAGAATAAACCAGCTTCCAGATGAATAGGAAATTGTAAAACGACGATGGAAATGGATAGGACATACATTACACAACTTACCGAACTGCATCACGAGGCAAGCCCTAACTTGCAATTCTGAAGGGAAGTGGAAAAGAAGAATTTTAAAGAACACATTACATCGGGAAATAGAAGCAGATATGAAAACGATGAATAACAACTGGAAGGAGCTGGAAAGGGTTGCCCAGGACAGGATTGGATAGAGAATGCTGGTGAGCGGCCTATGTTCCTTCACGAGTAGTAACAGGCGTAAGTAACAACAACATACATAAAAAACAAACAAAAAAAAACGTCAATACAATCAATAGATTTACCAAATTTTTGATTAATTTCAATATTTTCCATAAATCCATCATAATACCAACGTGTTGAAACAACTGGGGCACTTTCAAATATACAAAATAATGTTAAATTTGTATTTTCATTAATGTTGATTTCTTTAATTGTATTCAATGGATTATTATTATTATCATTATGAATAGTTAAAGTATTTGAATTGATTTCATTATTTGTATTATATAAATAAGATAAATCAGGATCATCTGATGAAAATTTTAAATGGGTCCAAATTTTTTCATTTGGTTCTATGAAAATTTGAAAGGAAAAAGAAAAAAAGAAATAAAAAGAAAAGTAAATGACAAAAAAATAGATTGCTAGCTCAGTGGTCTAGTGGTTAAGTGCTCACTCGTGAAACCTGTAGATCCTGAGTTCGAAATTCGCAGGGGGCGAGGTTATGGATACGTACTGCTGAGGAGTCCCACAGTAGGACGAAACGGTCGTCCAGTGCTCCCAGGTTTTCCATGGTGGTCTAGCTTTAACTGACTCATGATCTTAACCATTGAAAAAAAAATTATTTTTTTTAAATTTTATGATGATAAATAGATATCAATTGAAGTTGTTCGTTTAATGTATAGTATGCCAATAAGAGACTGATCAATTGTAGTCGTAAAGAACAATGAGAAGTTTCAAGTAAACAATACTAAGTGAATTTAAACTTAACTCCTCATTAATTAAGGTAGTTGATATCAGGGTACAGTAGCTAAATGGACAACACAATGGCATTTGAAGTTAACGGTACTAGGTTGGAGTCTCAGAGTGAACATTAACTCTGAGATGCAGGTACATTCAGATAACAAGTCCCAAATTGGACGAAACGCGCGTCCTGGATTTCACAGCTAGACACTATTCATCTTTGCTTAGAATGCTTGTGATTTGAGACAACATCAAGGCAATCCGTACAGTATGTACATATGCCAATAAGAAACTGATCAATTGTAGTCACGAACATCAATGGGAATATTCAAGTAAACAAAACCAAGTGGATTTAAACTTCACCTCATGGTACAAGCAAGTGGCTATTAGGACTCAGTAGGTAAGTGGAAAATGCGATGGCGTTTGAAGTGAGTGAACATTAACTCTGAGATGCAGTTACATTCAACTGATGAGTCTTAAATAGGACGAAACGCGCATCTTGGATTTCACTGCTACCCACTATCTATCATTTCTGATTTTTTGTTCCGAAACAGTAATAAAAAAGAGAAAAGTATATTGATTTATTCAACCAAAATAACTGAAATGAGATAACCGAAAAATATAAATGTTATTTTAGTATTAAATTGTACTTTCAAAACAAATAAAACTATTTTGCATTTATCTTCCCATGGATGTTCACAACTGAGATTGATCAGTCTCTTGTTGACATATGTGCATTCTATGCGGACTGCTTCGATATTGCCTAAAGTCATAAGCTTTATAAGCAATACAACTAGTTATCTGAAGATTGGTTCCCTTGTTTTCGGTTAGTGATGTTGATAGCGCTAATTTGTTTGTTTGTTTTAATTTGAATGTGAAATAACAGTATGATATCAGTATAATTCAAGGCAGTTGGTAGTTATTATCACAAAAACTATAGGAGTTATTTACTTAGACAGCTATTTACTGAATAACGGATTGCCTTTGTTTTTATTCAACCCAAAGGTTTAGTAAACAACATTTTTGGTCATCATTATGTTTTCAGTTAAATTGCTTAAATCGGCTTTGATGAATGTACTGGGGTTTAAAAAAACAATAAAAGATATGGCAAAAATAAGAGGAAAGTATTAACGTAATCAGATCATTACCATTAAACTGATTAAAGTAACAAAGTAAATTATCAGTTATTAATCTCTTTCTGTGAATATAACAATTTAGAAATTATGAATTGGTGTTTCTTAGATTATTAAATTGTTGGAAGTAGGAAGATCAAGATGTTTAATCGAAGTCCTCGACTGCTCTTTTGAGTTCTGACGAAAGACCAAGTTCTCACGATCAGACTTAGTCAAATCGTTGTAATCTATGCTTACAAACATTGAGTAACTTGGTTTAATGCAAGTGTCAGTAGTGCGGTTACATGTTCTAAGTTATCTTGGGCTTCGTGTGATTTAAAACCTCTCAATCTATGATCACATTCATTTTCTTCTATATTATATTTTTCATCCTTAAATTTCAATTTCAACTGGTGTTATTTCTTACATTTCTTCTCATTTCGCCAACATTTCAGTTGTTCCGTTTGTCAGACAAGGTTTCTTACTCTCCTCTTTTCTATTTGCTTTGGTGGATTATGAAGACCTCCATATTTGATGGGAAGCATGGAACATGAATGACAGCTTTCATGCAACTAGACGACTTGAACTTCACAGATGACCTGGCCCTTTTATCTCATATACATTAGTACGGCAGAAACCTCTGCATCAGTGGACCTCAACATGCACAAGGGAAAAAGCAAGGTCCTCAAATACAACACACAGAACACCAACCCAATCACACTTGATGGATAAGCTCTGGAATAGGTGGAACCTTCCACGTGCCTGGGAAGCATCATCGATGAACTGAGAGGATCTGATGCAGACATGGAGGCAGGGATCGGAAAAGTAAAGGCAGCATTCCTACAATTGAAAAAAATCTTCAACTCAAAACATCTGTATGCAAGACAGCATCAAATTCAAAATCTTTAATACAAACGTCAAAACAGTTCTACTGTACGGAGCCGAAACTTAGAGAACTACTACAACCATCGTTAAAATCGTACAAGTATTTATAAACAATTGTCTGCTTAAGGTACTTAGTGTCCGTTGATCGAATAACAACAGCATCAGCCTACTGTGGGAGAGAACTATCCAGCTTCCAATTGAAGAGGAAGTCACACAAAGACGATGTAAACGGATGGGATGTACATTATGGAAATCATGATACTGCATCACGAGGCAAGCGCTAACATAGAATACTGAAAGTAAACAGAAAAGTGGAATGCCGAAAGGCACACTGAGTCGAAAAATGGAAACAGACATGAAAAGGATGAATAGCATCTGGAAACAACTGGAGAGTCGATGAGACAGTTGAATGGAGAATATTGGTGGTTGGCATTTGTTCTTTCATTGTGGGGGGGGGGGTAATTATATAAAGTGTTAACATATTCATTATAGAATAATAGCATTAAAAGTATAATAGTAAGGAATTAATCGTTCAGATATTACAACATGAGTAAGTGAATATAACATTCACGAAAATGTTTTGTTTCTTGATGTAATCGGTAAATGACTGAGTGGGATCATTACGATTAATATAATAATGCATAGAATGGGTCTACTGCTTCATATGGTATACTGATACCACAGGAGAAATCCATATGGTCTTTAAACATTTTTATAATCACTCTTTCACTACTCAAATGAATAAAACTAAATATCTCACATTACTGAAATGGAACAATTTAGTTGAAGTTAGACATGTAAACCTTTGGATACCGGCTCACCGGTTTAAAGCTTAAGTATTGGTCATCTTATTTGATCTTAAATCCTATCCCTAGTGCATTCGTATGTAGAGTGAAACAAGATTTTGGTCCTTCCTGGCTTTCTGTCGCTATTTATTTATATGAATTGTGAATTTCAACAGTTTCTACAAACTGCTTATATTAAGAACTAAATTAAATGGGATTATGCAATGCTAAGTCTATTTAAAAAACAACATAACCGAACAGGACGACTGTGAATATAAAAACAATAAGGGTTAGAAAAACCTACTATTCACATCATAGATGATAAAAAGAAATCATAATCACTATTACCATATTAGGTTTGATTAAAAAATGTGAAATGATTTCTAATACTCAAGGGAGATTTGGATTTCCATATGACCAAATATTTAACCTTGACCACTTTTATGTACCATTATAAAAATTATTCTTCGACTATTCTTATGATAGATTCTGAGTATATCTTTCGAGATAAAGAGGAGTGGATATTTATCTCACCATTGAAATCTATATCCTTTTGTAGCTATGATTCAGATGCATATTTAGTTAGCCATAGTTGGATATTAAAATAACTCCTATCGTGTATATGTGAGTAAAATGATAAGCACAGTGGGATTGTACGAAACGTATTGTGGTAATATGTCACACTGTTTAATATTTTAAAAAAAACTGTCTTCTCATTACATTTCGTAGATAAACGGCATATGGTTTGACAATATTTTTATGTCGATGTTTTGCTATATGAAGGAGACTTTGATGTACTCGAAATTAATGAGTTTATTTTAAATCCTGACTAAACTAATTGGTTGTAAGTGTACATGTACAACAGATGGGGTTTGATGGCAGTCTTGAAAGCTCACTAATTGAATGAATTCAGAGATATGAGATATTGGGAATCAACAAAGTGGTCAAACGATAATTTACTTTTAAAGAAAATTGATTTGGATGTTTGTGAGTGTGAACTATTGAGGAAACGAAAATGAAATTCAATTGTTCCTGATCATTAAATACAATGGATGATCGGATGGGAACGTAAAGGTGAGGATTGGCAAAGCAAGAGCCACATTCCTACAGTTGAAGAACATATGCAACTCAAAATAACTTCCAACCAATATCAAAGTCACAATCTTCAATACGAACGTTTAGGCAGTTCTACTGTATGGAGCTGAAACTTGGAGAACTACAACTACCACCATCAAGAAGGTACAATTATTTATAAATAGTTGTCTACGCAAGATAGTCAATATCGGTTAGACGAATACTATAAGCAACAGTCTTCTCTGAGAGAGAAGAAACCAGATTCCAGCTGAAGTGGAAATTTGGGAAAGATGTTGGAAGTGGATAGGACTTACATTACGCAAATCATCAAACTGCATCACGAGGCAAGCCCTAACTTGCAATTCTGAAAGGAAGCAGAAAAATGAAAGGCCAAAAAATACATTACATCGGGAAATAGATGCAGATATGAAAAGGATGAATAACAAGTGGAAAGAGCTGGAAAGGATTGTTCAGGACAGGGTTGGATGGAGAGTACTGATGGGCGGCCTTTGCTCCTCCTCTAAGAATAACAGGTATAAGTAAGTCAATAAGTTTAAATACAGTCAGTCAGGGAGAACATCTTTAAGTTTGTATGAAAGACCTTTAACTTCGAAAAATTATTTTGTTTATTGTCATTGTCAGTTTTTAATTAAATCTTTTCAGTTCAATATGATTAGTACAATTTCGATTATTTTGAAATTTGATTCCATCACACTGTTTAAATTAACTACGCAACATCAGTATCCGCGATTGAAT